CTGTAAGATTACATTTACAATCATTTCCGTTTGTTGCTATCTTTGTTATATTAAGACTTGAAAAAAAGACTTGTTTCTTTTTTCATGTTTTAACTAATGAACTTGCTTTTAAAAAATTACAATTATTTCTAGCTTATCTTTTATGATGACGTAAAAGCGATGATCAAGGAGTCCTGGTGTTAAGCACTAGACTGCTAACTGAAAGGCTGGCACTTCTGACCCACCTAACCTCTCCATGGTAGAAAGACCCAGCAATTTGCTCTCATAAAGAGTGGAGTCTGAAAGGCTCTGGCAGCAGTTTGATTTCATTCTATGGGGTACATGGGGCTTGTAATTAGCATTATAAGCTCCCAACAGCAATATCAAACCCCCATACTTAGAAAAGAAAGATGAAATAATTAAATAACAGTTACATGTCTATTTTTTGTTCTTATTGTGGTTACCCTTAATCGAAAGCTTTATTTCTAATCATATTATCATCTTGCTAATATCAGTATCTCCTCTTCTATGCCCCAGTCTCAATTCATTTTCTGAAAACCCCAAATGTCCATAGTGGATTGATACGGACTAGAACTTTACCTTCGAATTGTGATGGATATTTTTCTTTTCTTTCTTTTGCTCTTCCACTTTGATTAATTCTGTGAATTGTTGTTGTTCTTCCTGATTTTGTCCATTTTTCCTTCAGATGGCTCTTTCCTCCTTTTACATTTCTTTTTTATTCTATTTTATCTTTCTCTCTTTTCATTGCCTAAAGGAGAGCTTTTGATCTGAGGGCCCACATATTGATCATATATTTGGATCCATCTTAGTTTTATTCGTTATATTACTGAATCTTATATATAATATTTTACTTATCAAAAACTTTTGCTTTAGTCTTTGCAACATTGTCTTTCATGTTTCACCTCTCAGATTTCTTCTTTTATCTCTTTAGAACAGGGCTACAGTTTTTACAAATTATCGTTTGTTTTTATTCCATTAATTGATCAGTCGATATATGTTGTTCAGTTTGTGCTCTCTATTTCTCCTTGGATATCCATATATTTCAACAGCAAATTTTCATAATGATTTTAGTCTTTTCCCTGGTTAAGTGTATTAGAGTATGTTCTAGCATAAGCTTGAGTGAATGTCTTTCTTCTGACCGCCGTAGCCACCCTATAGGATCAAGTAGAACCAGCCCTGTGAGTTTCTGAGACTGTAACTCGTTATGAGAGTGGGAAAGAAATGTCTTTCTTGGTCAGTGTAAGGAAGGGAAAATATAAGACCCAGAGTTGAAGAGTCCAGAACCAGAGTCATTCACTCCAGTTGGCTGATGTTACCCCATCAGGTCAGAAATCAATCTTCAAGGTCTCATACATGCATGGTCAACAGTAGGTTATGACCCGCCCTCAGGGTTTGGAGAGGTAGGAGATAAAAACCAAAAAGCCCAACTCACTACAGGCAAGAGATGAAGTAATAAATACTTGCACCTTTTGTCATCAACTCCCAGCTGGACTTTTGGTCTGTCCTGTTTTCTGTCTGTCAGCACCTGTGACCTGGTATGCTGCTATTGCTTTGACTGGTGGAGGATGGTAGTAATTGTCTCAAGTTAAATACATTTGTCCAAGTGAAGTAAATTGTATTAAGTTCCATCCATCATTTCTTCCTGCTTCTATAGTTTCCCCAGAAGTGATTTCAGAGAGAAAACCAATAGTTCTCCTGTTTGATCTGATTGTCTCGGCCATAGTTCCTTTTACTCCTTAAATACAACAGTGAGTTCCAACCACAAATCCTTTGCAGACAGTTTGGAGGGTTGAGCATACCCAGAGGTACCATGGAAGAAATGCCCACCTATCCATATCTGAAAAATCAGCCCTGGGAAACCCTATCGAGTACATGAGTCCTCGGACACAGGGTCACTCTGAGAGGGACTTAAGATGACAGGAAGTCAGGGTGGTGGTGGATACCCCACCTGGTTTTCCCTCAGACCCTTAATGGCAGCCTCCTCTTCCTTGATTGCCTCTCGCCTCTCACCTCACAGCCATCCTTTCAGAGTGACCTTCTTGCCATTTAAGATGACTGCCATTCTAGCCATTATCTTATTACTCATTTTATTTTGATGGATGGACACGGTGGCTACGACCATGGGCTCGAGCACAGGAACAATTCTGAGGATGGCGCAGGACCGGGCAGTGTTTCGTCTGGTGTACTTAGAGAGGCCGCTGTGGGTTGAAACCATCTCAGTGGCACCGAACACCAACACCTTCCACCTCACGTGCCCTCCTTTCAGAATGCCTTTCCCTGCTGTTTAAGATGACTGCCATTCCAGGCATCGTCTTCTTACTCCATGATGGACAGCACTTACTTGTTCTAAAATCACATTTGATGTGTCTATTCCTAGCAGACTGCACACTTCTTTGAACATGTATTCTATTCTGAGGTAGTCTCAGAATTTGTCAGAATATGCGGAACCTCATAAATGTGTGAAGAATTTTGTGGAATGAATCAAATAGCATCGATGGTCATCACTTATTCCATTTTCACTTTATTTAAAAAATTTTCCTGGTCATACAGTACAGATAGTGGAGCAGAATGTCTAACAACTGTTATATGTCTATTATGAAACCATTTTATTATAATAATATAGGATTCATTTTGCAATATTATATCTTATAGTAAAAACTTCATTATAAACTTCTGTTTTATGTAGAAATTAGTGTTAAGTTGATTGTACATCTTTTTATATCATTCATGTTACAATGAATTCCAATATTTTTAAAATGTTATATTCAAAGAATCAAATACATTTCTTAGCATCCATCTGCTCCCCATCACTAGTCTGGAATGTAGGCAGTGGGTGAATACCCACTGTGCAGATGAGGAAAGTGGTGTTCACACAGGTGAGACGAGTGGGTGGCTGATCTGGGATTCAGGCATGAGTCCTCGCTTGGTTCCTGGTGCAGTTGTTTTTCTCACTGTGCAGGTCTGTCCCCATGTACGTGTCACATTCCCATAGGGAGGTTTGGGGATTTCTCTCAGCGCCCCAAGAAGAGGTAGACTTTTCACGTCTTGATCGAGACATTTACATAAACACTAACAGCAGCAACTATAAATACCTAAGAGATGCCAGATGTTGTTCCAAATGTTGTCTGTCAATTAATATGTTTAACTATTTAATATTTAAAGATGGGGGTTGGTAATATTATGCCCACTTTTCACTGACATTAACATGCAGAGAAGTTAAGTAACTTTCCCCAATCATGCAGTAAATAAAAGTCAGAGTTAGGATTATGAATCTAAAGTCTGCCTCTTAACTGTGCACTGGCCTATGCTACTTTATTATGAATCGCAGTGGACAGAGATCATTTCTTCAGAGCTTGACAGACAACTGAGTTTCACAGGAGTGACTTGGCTTACATCTCTAGGTGGCAGGTGACTGAAATTGTACTGATGCTTTCTTCTGAAATCTAGTTACACCCTCTTCTTACTTATGGACGTGGTTAGGTTTAAGAGATCAGGTTATTATGCAAAAATCTGAATTATGCAAAAATGACCACATCAGATCACAAAATAGAAGGTGAGAGCATCTTTGCATAACTTGCAAAGTACATCATCACAGAATTGCCAACCCTCCTACACTTATGGCCCAGCCACCTTGACATCGATCATTAACCATTACAACCCAAATCAGCTAATGTTCCTTACTGTCAGATTGCACATGAATTTTTCCCCATTAATGTGTCAGATAGATTTTTAAAAAACTTTTGTCATAACTGTAAAACGTCAAATAATGAGATAGTCCTTCAGTGAGGAGAGGGTGTCTATCTTCTTTTGGGGGGGGGTGATGTTTTTATCCATGGTTTTCTCCTTCGAATGTTTTTCTTTTTCCATGATATTGTCACAGTCTTAAAATCCTTTTACATATTTGAGGAGCATTTGATCTCTCATATATTGACATTGCTTGATTCCATCTCTTGTAGCTGAACTGTGATGAATTCAAGAGAGGAGAGAGAGATGGGGACTTCATCTGCACCTTTGATAATGCAGCTGTTTGTGGTACAGATGGAAAAACATACAGCAATAGATGTACTTTGTGTGCTGAGATTGCGTGAGTATTCTCTAAAGCAGACTTTCTGCTTAAAGCATATCTCCCTCATAATGCCACATTTTCCTTGCCAATAAGCTTGAAGATAATGACCAGAAAGCTGGTCATTATCTTCAAGATTATATATTATACATACATATAATATGTAATATTTAATATTATATAGTATACATATATGTGTTTTTTAAAGTTTTTAGAGGAAATTGAAAGATGATGTATTTGCTCTGCAAACTTTGAAGCCCCTTCATGTGTATTGGGACATACAAGATGACACATTATATTTCATAAAACACTATTTTATGTAATTTATCAGCTAGATACCACTGGGACAGGATAGGAATATACACAAACACACAGGCACACACATCTTCCAACTTGTCTGTTTATTTATCATTTATAAATCAATCACCATATGGCTTTGCACAGAGAATGGTTTCATCATCAATTGATATTTATTAAGTGCTCAGTAATTTATAATATTAGAATAGGCAATTTGCACTTTTACTCTTGAACTTCTTCCACTCTATCTAATCTTTGCCAAGTAACTAAAGTACCTTACTGCCCTATATCTTGTCCTCGTTCTGGTCTCTCTCCACCCTCAATGCCAACAACATAGCACCCTGGCTTTGCAGGGTCTGGACTGTGGCCTCAGTCTGCAAACGTCTGCTCTTAAGGTTTTGTAACTACAACAGGCACTGGATGAGAAGTATAGAAACGAATGTGCTACATGCTCAATCTTCGACTTTCCTGCAAAGTGCATCTATCTTTGTAATCAAAAAAACTTCACAAAATTCTACCTGAATTAAATCTCATTCACCCCTCACATGACTGCATTTTTGGAAACAAGATCAAATTATACCCCCAACTCTCAGCAAGAGTTATGAGTAAGAAAAGCAAAAATAGACTTATGAAGGTTGTGCAAGTTTTATTTCATTTACTTTACACTATAACACAGCTATGGGCACACTGTATATTTTATTTTTCTGCGTGGAATCCCAAAATTATCTACATCTGTTAGTTCATCTCCCCTAAGTTCTGATTCAAACTCCCCTTTGAGTTTCTTTGTTAATAATTTTTCGGAACAAAGGAGACTCACTCTCATGAAGAGAAGTTAGGTGTGAATGGTGGGAAGTTCTGTGGTATGAAACTGCTGCGTCTCCTAACGTTCCATTCCAGGAAGACCAGATCCCAAGTCAACATCCAGAGTGAAGGGGAATGTAAGAAGAATGACCCTGAGCAGGTGAGGAGTGGGGTGGCAGATGTGGGGGCCCACCGCAAAGAAAAACAGAAGCACTCACCTGTCCTGGTGGGTGGGCTGCTCCGGAGAAAGGGATCCTTGTTGGGGGCAGTGGAGTTGATTGTTGCCAACTGATGGTGGCCTTGCCATGGGAGACCAAGTGTTTCTGTAAAGAAGCTCCTGGGACTGGGACGGGGCACTCAAATTTTAAGCCTTTCTGCTTTATTCCTATTTTCTATTCAAAACAACAGCAATAAAAACAAAGGGCAACATCAAACCAAGACAGGATCTGTAGTAGAAAATAATTCAACTCCAGTTAAGTTACTAAATTCCCATCAATGAACACTGTCAGAGGCTCTTGGGAAGTTCCCTAATGAATGTTTATACATCCAAACGCGATATTTAGAGGTGGATCTTCTTTCTCTGCTAAAATTATACGAGCCTGTGAAAGTAGGAAATGAATCATTCCTACACACCAGACTTCATTTTTCCTGACCAGGTGTTTCCCCTGAATCAGCTTTCAGTATGTTCATACCATGTTTGCTGTTACCACCATCAGAGCACACAGCCCCGACTACTTTTAATATCCCATTGCCTAGTAGATTATGAGCACGTTGAAGGCAAGAACTGTGCGGACCCTGCATAGGGCACATAATAGAATATCCATGAGTGAAGGAATGTCATATTACAAGCATTACACAAACACTGTTGAGTTCCTACTACGTGGATGGCGCTATTCTAGCACCTGAAGCTCGTCAGGCAGAAAGGTGCCCAGTTCTTAAACAGCAGAGTTGCAAGCATGACAATAACGATGGTATGTGCCAACCTCCTTTCTCTGCTCCTCAGGATGTGTGCAGTGCTTTTCGGCCATATGTTAAAAACGGAAGACTTGGATGCACACGGGAAAATGATCCTGTTCTTGGTCCAGATGGAAGGACACACGGCAATATGTGCGCCATGTGTGCTGAGTTGTTGTAAGTAGCATCGTGCCCAAACCCGTGAACCCGATGACAATGTCCGTGGTTTTTGCCCTGAGAACCACCCTGCAGAGAAATAAGGGCTGTTTCATGAAACATGAAAGCCTGTTGTTGTCAGGTGCTATCCAGTCCATTCTGTCTCATAAGTACCCTGTGTATGCACCAGGACGAAACACTGCCCGTCCTACATCGTCCTCACAACTGTTATGTTTGAACCCATTGTTGCAGCCATTGTGCCAATTTATCTTGCTGAGGGCCTGGTCTCCCCTGACAGCATGTCCAAAGTATATGAGAGGAAGTATCACCATCCTCACTTCTAAGGAGCATCCTGGCTATACTTCTTTCTAAGACAGATCTGTTTATTCTTTTGGCAGTCCATGGACATTTAATATTCTTTGCCAGCATGATAAGTCAGATGCATCAATTCTTTTGTAGTCTTTCTTATTCAATGTCTAACTTTCACGAGCATCCTTGCCTTCATAATGTGAAGTAGATCTTCTTCTCAGAGGGATTTCTTTTTCCTTGTATTATCTACTAAAGCTTCTAGAAAGGAGTGGCTAAGGTTGATGACAAAAAGTAACAATGCAAACCACTGGTGAGTCGATTCTAATGCATGGCAACCTCATGATTTCAGAATAGAACTGTTCCAGAGGATTTTCATATTGAAATCTTTAGGAGGTTAGACTTCTATCTTCTGTGGTGACACCAAGGGGTTTGGATGGCCAACTTTTGGGATAGCAATTGAGTATAAGTGAGTATTCCATTTAGGGCCCTTACATTGGTTATGGTAGTTAAATTAAATTTGGGATTCTTAAATGATTCTAATTAGAAGATGAAATTACCTAATAATGACATGAAAATGCATGGTGTTTATAAGGCATAGAAATTAAAATTTTAGAAAGTACTTTCATATGGAATAATGGCAGTCAGTCGTTTGACATGCATGGCTTAATTTGGGCCTATATAGAGATTCCTGCAGAATAAGCACCGTCTATAATAACGCCACAGGCAGAATTCATTATTAATACAAAGGACAGACTAGTATTTTCTGGGTTAATCACTCACTTGGGAATCTTTCCCGAGTGCCTAACACTGTTCTGGGCACTAGAAAGCCCCAGCTGTGAATGAGAGCCCTCCAAATACATCCACTGATCGTGACCCTAGAGGACAGAATAGAACTGCCTCATAGAGTTTCTGAGGCTTTAAATCTTTCTGGACATAGACTAATTGACTTTTCTCCCACGGAGGGGCTGGTGAATTCAATGGGTCAGCCTTTCAGTCCACAGCTCTGTGCTTAACTGTCTAAGCCATCAGGGCTCTCTAAATAAGATTCAGTGACCTTCATATTTTGACCTTAAAAGAGGTTTAAACTCTGAAGTCCTCAGGTCAGCATGCCAGTAAACGTTTTCTTTTACTTAAATCACGGACTCTTTAAAAGCAGGCTAGAGAAAGGTTTCACAGATTAGTAAATCTTGCACATTTGTGAACTCTCAAAAATGTAAACTACCATTAATTATTGTAGAATTCAAAGGCAAGTTCTTTCATGTTCACAAAACAATGATTATAACTGGTTTCCAGACAGGAAATCAGCCTGATCTCTGTCTCACCGGGGGGCATGCACTTTCAATGCTTAAACATGCCCTGATCCTGTGGTTTCCTGTTTCAGTTCTTGAACTCCCTGACCAAGGAAAGCCTTCCTCCTTAACCCTTAGTTCTTTCTCTGTCAAACTGAGTAAGTAACTTCTGTCCCCAGGGTGGGACTGAAATTTGATGAAACAAAATGCATTGGAAAGTAGATTGTTGTAGATGAAGTTAGGCTAAAATTTAGCACCCTATCTATTGATCTCCCTTATGATCCACTTAAGGGTCCCTGGTGGTATAGTGGTTATGCATTGGACTGTGATCCTAAATGGTCAGCAGTTCAAAACCACCAAGAGGTCAGTGGGAGAAAGACAGGGTTTTCTACTCCTGTAAACAGTTACAGTCTTGGAAACCCACAGGGGTTCACCGTGAGGCAGCGTTGGCTCAATGGCAGCAAGATATTTTCTGCTTTCTTTTCGATTGAGGTTTTTATCTGTTTAACATTGTCATTGTTCGCTTTTAAATTGTTGTTTTCTGTGAATGAAGTGCAGGGGAGGTAATATTATAGAGATATTAGCGGGATTAATAGTTCTTTGTATGGCAGCAGGTGTGGGAGGATATGGGAAGCTAATAATCATGGACACAAGATTGAAGAAAATGTTCTAAAACTGATTGTGGAGATAATTGTACAACTCCTCTTAATTTTACTATCAAATTGCATAATATGTGGATTATATGCCAATAAACTCTTGGGGGCAAAAAAAGCACATGACAAAAATTCAAAAAAAAAAGAAGGGTATGAAAGTTGGATTCACATGTAGCCTTGATTAACAGTCCCACTTGTCCAAGAAGGCAAAAAATATTTTGAAGGTATTAAAAGCCACACGTAAGGGTGTAGCCACCAGGATCTCCAACGTTCAGTTTCACCCTCCTCAAAGCATTGCTTTGAAGCCTTTGGTTCTGCCTGTTGAAGGGAATTTTCCTGATGATCTCTGTTTGTCAGTCTAAGTGCTACGCCCATCGTTATTTTAACAGACAAGCTTCTAATTGACTGTCAGTGAGTCAGCTTCACGCCCTTCCTTATCTTTGGCAATTTCTATGTCTCAGCCATTCAAAACAGGGAAAAGCTAGTCTTGTAAGTAGATCAGTTTTAACAAGTTACAACAAAAAAATATGCACAAGCACTTCACCAAGGATCAAACACTGATACTTGACTGACCAAATGCTGACTTTTCTTAACAGTTTACAAGAAGCTCACGAAAATGCCACGCGAGAAGCTAAATTCAGAAGTCGACGAAATGCTGAAAAAGTATGTGCCTCACCCACACAATTTGTTTTTTCATGGCCATAGATGAACATAATAATGATGGGACCTTTGAAATAATGCAATAGTATCATTGTCCTTTATTATGATGTCCATATTTTTAAATTTCAAAATTCCTTAAATCAGCTATTCTTATTACTCATTAAATTCAGATTTAAAACATCACTCCCTACCAAAGTTTCAAAACACGCAGTTAAAATATGTAATCCCCACCCCACTCCTTTTACTCTCCAAGTAAATAGAATAGTGTTTCCCAAACTGAATGAAATCTCCCCCAGGTGTTTGGTAGGGGTAGGGGGTAGGGCTGCAGATACTAAAATTTTGTTCTGGATTATAGACTATAGTACAAAATATTTTAATTGTCATAGGGGCTCTGAGTAATTTTGTTTTTTCTGAAAAGGATGGGGTATGTCAAATAAGTTAGGGAACCCAGGAAATAGAAGATGTAAGAGAGAATGTTTCTGTGAACTAAATTCTGCTTAATTTCTGTTCACACACTCTGACTTACTGTACATTAATTTTGCTCTGATAATTTAAAAAATTCAATATAGTATAGATTATAGATGATAATTTAAAGAGAATTCCAGACTTGTCTAAACAGTTTATTCATTGTTAAATTTCATGTAAAATTCATCAATATACATTGCAGTGCATCATTTTTCCTTTATAGTTATATATTTTCCTTTATAGTTCAGTAAGATATGAATTTATAAATAGCTTGTTTTTGCTTAATGAGAATCTCAAACACATAGTGAGATCATGGCTTTAAGAACACCCTTAGTAAGTTGATGATTTTATGTTTTCAATATATCTATATTTTTCCCTTTTATTAGTGGAAAAAGGATTATAAATAATATAACCAGATTTTCTGAAATTATCACGGTTATTAAATCCTACTTTCAATATGAATGACAAGTACTTGGCTCACTGGCACAGCTTTGGCTCAGGAGTCAGAACGCTTGAGGGTGATAAGCTCAGGTCTGCCCTGTGCCCAGTGGGTGAAATGGATGTGTCATCCTCTCCCTTTGGAGCTTTGTTTTCTTATCAGCAACATAAAGAGGTTGATATATGATCTCAACTCTACCTTCCTGCTGGACTGTGATACGGTCTTGTATTATTTTTGTAATATTTCTGTGGGTGGGAGAGGATGCATTATCCTAAGAGAACAAAAAGGCCCAATTTTTCATAGTTGAGTTGACTTCCTACCCCATAATGCTATTCAATGAACCAAAGTTTCCACCCTAAATAATGTGTTCAGAGTTTGAAATAAGAAAAATAAAGTATTCAAAACTGTCTACAATATGTTGAGTATTCACCAAAGATTGGAAAGAAAATTCTTTTGTGATGGTTGTTAAATTTCAGCCGTAGTCTTTGGTTTGAAACAAAGCACTCAGCACCATTGAGTAGATTCCAACTCACAGTGATTCAGCATAGGGTTTCCGATACTGTACCTCTTTAGGAGAGCAGACAGCCCCTTCGTTCTACCCCAGAGCAGCTGATGGCTTTGAACTGTCAACTCTGAAGTTACCAGCCCAATATTTGTCCAACAGCATGACCAGGTCCCAGCCAGGGGTAGTCAACATATTATTACTTTATAATCACAAAAAGGAAATTTCCTTTGTATTTCATCAGGGCTTGGCTGAGTCTTCCTCTTCCTTCAGTGACTGAGGTCATGGTGTTGGTGGGGCCACTAGACCTGGTTATGGTAAATAGGATGGGGCCCTGGTTGCACTCCCTAAACACCTGACTGTTAACTGAAAGACTGGCCGTTTGAACCCACTCAGTGGTTCCACAAGAGAAAGACCTGGTGTTCTGCTTTCATAAAGACTACAGCCAAGAAAACCCTACAGGGCAGTTCTCCTCTGTCACGTGGGCTCATCACGAGTGCAAATTAACTTGATGGCAACTAACAACAACATGTTGAATAGGATAGCTTCATAGTGATGGCTCAATACCTGCCCCATAATTAACCTGTCAGTGGGTTGCTCTCAGAAGTGTTTCCTCAGACGCTCCTCGGGTGAATCACAGTTTATAAACCGAAATTATCATTGTTTCTGTAGGAGAATCATGAGCATTAATTTTATTACTGTACTCTGAGTACCCTCTGCTGACTTCTGCCTCTGTATCCCTGGATTGTTATAACCAGCCAGTTTGAAGCACACCCTTTGCTCCTCCAAAAACAAATTATCTTCTTGTTAAGAAGTACACAGGATTCTCTTTTAAAGCACTAATGAATATGAGCATTGAAAAGGAAGAAAAACTTAGAGATTGCTAGATCCAGAAAAGGTTCTCAAAACACTGTCATCCAGTCAATGCTGCCTCATAGTGACCCCATGTCAGTTTCTGAGACTGTAACTGTTTATGGGATTAGAAAGCCCGGTCTTTCTCCTGTGGAGCTGTTACTGCTTTTGAACTGCCAGCCATGCGGATCACAGCCCAATGCTGAACCACCACATCACCAGGGATCCATAGAAAAGGCTCTAAAGAGCATCTGTCCCAATGAGCTCGTTGGGTATGTGGTGAGACTGGATGGGCTATGCCGCAGTCTTCATTGATGAAGACCCACAATCCACTTACCGCCCAGGCCTCTTGACTCCCAGGTCCCTGTTCTTAACATTCATGTCTTCTTAGCGGAAATGGAGGTAGAATTACATAATTATTCTGCCACAAAGTATTCTTATTGGCACTAGGCTCTCCATACTTTGAGAAGTAGGTGATGTACCTTTAGGTCAGGTCCTGTTCCATAATTCGACATCTCAAACCACAGCGAGGACATGGAGTACCAAACTAGAAAAACGTAAATGTTGGAAGCAAGCCTCCTTTGCATTTTTCCTGATGGAAGTTGCAACCTTTGCAGATTTTCTAAATACATATTAAGCTTAATGCCAGAAATTCTGTGTATCTATTTCTGAATACGTAAGATAAAATGGCCCATAGATCCACAGGAAATCGAAGAGAGAAAAACACACACAAATTTAAGTATTATGTAGTTGTAGACAGCCTTCATCCTTTTCTTTTGTAATCTCGGTTGGATTGTTTTTGACTTGATCATAGTTAGTAGCTTTTGAACAATTTATCTCATTGATTCCATCTTCTGCTAACAGTCAACATGTGTTCATTTTACATTGGCCACTGCATTTTCTTATGCATTTGAGGGAGCCCCTTGAAGAATTTTTTACTTGTTTATTTTTTCATGTAGTTGAAGTCAACAAGAGTTATCTAGTTTTTGAAAACCTCGCCTTATTGTTCCCAAGGATCTCATATTTAATTAAGAGTGTCACATAACAAGTACCAAGTAATATTATAATTATTAATACAATTACTACTTCTTAATAATTCTCAATAATATGTTGAGAATATTTATACCAACACCTTCTAGATTCCTTCTCATTATAGAATTACCATCTAACATTTCAGGATTAAGGAGAAAAATACTAAAAATATGTATCTGTTTAAAGAATTTTTGCAAGGAATATGAGAACCAAGTGAGGAGTGGAAGACTTTATTGTACACGCGAGAGTGACCCAATCCGTGGCCCCGATGGCAGGATTCATGGCAACAAATGTGCCCTGTGTGCTGAATTCTTGTGAGTATATATTCATAGATACAGTTATTCACAGTGACCTACCTTGTAGAAATAGAAATTGCTTGGAATTATGGGTTTTGTTTGTTGAGAGCCATTTGAACAGTTTGATGCCCCCCTCCACCAAATCATAATACTGTCTAATAAATAGGTGCTAATGTGTGTGTCATCCCTACAATTGTGTATCTGTCTAAGAGTACAAAAGCTTCATATTACAATTAGAATACTGCTTACAAACACTGCCCTCAGCATTCTACCATGTGGTCTGTAAGTCTCTCAATGGGCTAGTCACGATATGGGAGATGAATTGTTTTTCATCTTCTTCAGTCAGTAGGGATTTCATTATGACAGTGTTAATGGGACTTGCTCAAGAAAGTCATGTTTATACACTAATTGGATAGCGCTTATCTTTTTACCAGGGACAGTCAACAGTGTTCTCCCAGAGAAGGGCAAATAATACCACGCATTTGCACCGTCCACTTTCAGGCCTGAGTGTTGGTCAGCTAGTGCTTCTTCCGCTTGAAGATTGTGTCTTAAATCGTTGGAGGTTGTTGTTAAGTGCTGTTGGCTTGGTTCTGACTCATGGGGACCCTGTGTACTACAGAACAAAACACTGTGCAGTCCTGTGCTTCCTCACAAGCATGGTTGTGTTTGAATTCAGTATCCCAGCCACTGTGTCAATCCATCCCGTTAAGAGTCTTCCTCCTTTCCACTGACTCTCTCCCAAGCAGAATCTCCCTCTCCAGAAACGGACACCTCCAGGAAATAGATTAAAAATCCAGGAGATGAAGTCGCTCCCTTCCCATGACCACTCTGGCTGTAGTTCTTCCAAGATAGAACTGGTCATCCTTCTGGTAATCAGTATTCTCCACCAGGAGCACAATTCAAGTATATCAGCCCTTCTTTGGTCTACTTTATCCACTGCCCAGCTTTTCACCTGCACAGAACGGATTGGTGATGCCATGGCTTGGTCAGGTGCACCTGACTCTAAGTGGCAGGACTGCTTTTTAATACTTTATAGAGGGATTTTTCAGGGGATTTCTTCCTTGGACAAGATCTGCTCAAACTCTCAGGCCACAGTATTTTCATACAAGCTTGTCAGGCTATATTTGTTTGCCAAGAACTCCCTCCCTCTTGCAAATTATTTTTAAATTTTGATATAATGAAAAGAGCATATTAAACTTCAAAAATACTTCCTTTGGTGAAAGAGAGACTAAAAAATGTAGAAAACCTGTTATTTGTGTAAAAAACATGGTGCATTCCATCCTTATCACCTTGTCATTTAATTTCTATAATGAAAATTACCACCGTTTGCTATTATAAACTTATTTTCATGACTTTTGGTTGACTTTGGCAGGCTACCGGTTCCAAAGGCTAGGGTATGGGTTGGCAGTGTTACCACTGCATGTCTAGGACCTAGGCTAATGGTTGGCAGAAAAATAGACAATAATTAAATGTTGACTAAATGAGTAAATAAATGAATGTAGAAAAAATTCTGAAAGTGTAGTATTAAATTAAATGTAAATGGAGGTGGGGGACCAGCCCCACCCTCTGCTACTAATTCTACCCATGGGTTCAGTAATGCACAATTGTACGGTTGAGATATATAAGTATTATATTAAAGTCATCGACAGCATGAGCGATATTACAATAATGCAGTCAGACGCATTACATGGTAGCATTGCTCACCTCAGCCCAGCTTGGTGGTCCACGTGGAGAGAGGAGGAAGGGAAGGAGGGCAAGGGAACAAGGGAGAGGGGACTGGAGAGGGGGAAGAGAGTGGGGGGTCAGAGAGAGTCAGAGATCAGAGAGCTCTCTATTGCTGACCCATGCCTATATACTTTTGGGGGGCATGCCAGCCCACTAATTACAGGTAGAGACATACATCACAGGGAGGGGCTGCACTATAGGTTACACAGCACTAAGGGGGTGGTCTAGGGGGTGGTCTCTGGGTCTCCATAGGAACCATTATCAGTAGGGTGAAAACACCACCTACAGGAGCCTGTCCATTGTCCCCAGAGGCAGGGAGCAGGCCCACCCCTGTGGTGGTGTGAGACAGCAGTCTGGCAGGGATAGTAAGGATCTGACCTCCCCCCACATGAAAGCTTAAAGGTCATACCATAGATAAACCAAAAATTAAATTCACTGACATCAAACCCATAACAACACTATAGGACAGGATGGAATGGCCGCTGCAGGTTTCCAAGAGTGTAGGAACAGAAATAAGCCAGACACAGATATAAATATAGTGCAAGACAGAATGAAATGTATTTTATAAGAAAAAAATGTTCAGGGAAAAAATGTAGTGGGAGATATAGTGCCAATCTCCATTTGGGGACTGGGCGAGAAGAATTAAAGAAAGTCAAAATGAAAAAAAAAATCATTAAAGTAGAAGAAAATGGTATGCCAATCGTGTAAAAACCAAGAATTATCTCTGAGGAAATTGTAAAGTGTTTAATTGAATAAAATTGCATGGATGGATATTGAAGGTCATTTGACAATGCTACTAGAATAGAAAAATTCAGCTGTTTTTCCCTGCTCCTAAATGGTTCTTTATAACATATACATTTTGAATATGTGTTAGTCTGCTCATGTGTTAGTCTGGGTAGACTAGATAAACAAATCCACAGAAACTCATATGTATATAAGAGAGAGTTTTATATAAAAGGTTAGTGAACATTAAGAAAGTATCCCAACCCAGTCCAGTTCAAGCCCGTGTAAGTCCGACATTAACTCATATGTCCAATCCTGATCTACAAAATCCTCCTCAATCTCACAATGATGCTGACCACAGAAGGAAAGCTGAGTCAGTGAATGTGTAAGCATCCCAGCACTGGCAGGGTCTCCACGTGGCTGCTCCAGCACCCAGAGCTGCATCAGGGTAGGCCCATGTGGCTTCTCCTCAGGGATGTCTTGCAGGAAGTGAGCCTTGCCAGCTGAAGCAGGGAACTAGCTAAGTCAGCCCCACAGTGGTCTGGCCATCAGAGAACAAGAGACCAGACAGGCGAGACTCACTGAGCCATTTAGTTCTCTGCCCTTCAATTAATCCTACATGTGTTCATTGGCCAGGTTGGCACAATAAACCTTAACTATCACAGCTCAGATTTTTATTTTTTCCCTCTCCAGCCAACGACGATTTTCAGAAGAAAAAAAGGCAGCAGATGAGAATCTGAAAAGGGCTGACCAGAAAAATAAAGTCAAAAGAGAAATTGAGGTGAGGACCAGAGCCATTGTGAGGATTTTGAGAGCATTTTGCTTTTGTGCGCACGGCTAATTCTCAGAGGCCTTCTCAATATTGATGATGTATTTTCCAGTATCAGTGGACTTTCCAGGACCTCTTTTATACTTATTGTTTTATTACCTCTCCTTGTAGGTAGTTAATCAAATTGTACATTAGGGGGCCCATACTCCTACAAGAACTTGATATCTCAAAGCATTATCTAAATTCAATGTGTGCTGGGTACCAAACATTGACTGTGTAGTCATTGTTTTGGTGGTTTTAATTTTAAGGCAATATCAATATTTTAATACATTGCCTTTAAAACCGTGGTGCAATCTACTCTCAGAATTCCTCTTTACTACTTATTTTCCACCCTGCCCCTTTCTGCCCCCCAATTGCTACTATCTTAGCTCGGACAATTAATAGCTGTTTTAATTCATTAGCATCCTATGTTGTCTCTTAACTTTTAGTCTCCACCTATAAGACTCAAGTCATCCTCCCTCCTACTCCTTTGTTGGCTAATCACATGGTCATCAGTTCAAAACCATCAGCCACAACACGGGAGAAAGTTGAGGCTTTCTACTATCATAAAATGTTACAGTCTCAGAAAGCCGTAGGGGCTGCTCTACCCTGTCCAGTAGGGTTGGCATATGTTAGATTCGACTCGCTGTCAATAAGTTTTGTTTGGAGTTCTGAGTTGATGTTATAAAGTAGCAAATGCTTTTATGACCCCATCACATAATAGAATTAAAGGTATGATTTTATAGTCTTATTTGGACCACTTTACTTGATGCAAGCTTTCTTTAACATTATTTTGTTTTGATCTGGAGGATTGCTCAGCCTCCCTGAATGTGGACGTCTCAGTTTTAAAAAGTTATCCACTTTAAGTCTTGTGTGTTTATATAATTTTGCCTTATTGACTAGACCTTATTTTTTATACTTTTTTCTCCCTCAGTCTTAATCCCTTTACTTTGATCTATCAAATGGTTCTCAATTAATGATTTTATTTTTCAACTGAAAAATGTATTGATTATATATGACAGCATAGCTACTTTGCTCCATCTTAGTTTCTGCTCTCTCAGTTCTTTCACACAGCTGACAGGGCAATCTCTCTCAGACGAACATTTGCTCTTCTCTGCTGTGAACAGCTTACATTTGTCAATGCCCAAGAACAAAATCTAAATTATCAAAGGTCTTTAGTAGATTAGATCTGACCAACCTTTAAGATCTTCCTTTTGACCTTTCTAAACATTCCTCTCTTTGCTCAATCGATCCCGATGCTACTCTACTCCTTGATACATTGGAACAATCTCAAAAGAACATGTACTTTCACACATCTCTGTCTATGCATAATTCCTCTTAGAGAACCCATTTGCCACATTGGGTGAACACAGCTTCAAAGATACAACTGAAGCATAGCTCTTCTTTGAATCTTCTGGAGTAAACATGCTTAATGCTGACTTGTGGCACATTCCTTAATAGTTTATATTTCACATACTTAGCCTCTCTGTTTGATTAGTAAAGGAGCCAAATCATATTTTTATCTCCTTAATTTAATTCATTTGTGGAATACATAAATGGGCCAATATGATTAGGAGATCAATTATGCAATTTTGGCATGGTCTTAAGTTCTAGATGTTAAAAATATTTTTGATTCTTCTCTTCCAATTTCTTTATTAAAAATCACTTTAAAGTTAGAAATAGTGAGTTAAAAACTATATCTAAATGGCTTTATTCTTTCATTATTTAGAAACTCTGCAGTGAATATCAAGATCGTGCAGTGCATGGCACACTTTTCTGTACCAGAGAAAATGATCCCGTTCGTGGTCCAGATGGGAAAATGCATGGCAACTTATGTTCTCTGTGCCAAGCCTTCTAGTAAGTATGACAAAGAGACTCTATGGGACTCGAGAACTGTACGGGGGTGGGGGGGTGGGGGCTCTTTAAGATAGAGCATCTGGGGTCTTAGAGTCTTGAAGATAAACAAGCAGCCATGTAGCTGAGAAGCAACAAAGCACATGGAAGAAGCACAGGAGCCTGTGTGATCATGAGGTGTTGATGGGATCAGGTATCAGGCATCAAAGACTCAGAGCAAAAGCCTCATAATGTGAATAAGGGGGGAGTGCAGAGTGGAGGCCCAAAGCCAATCTGTAAGCAATTGGACATCCCCTTATGGAAGGATCGTGAGGAGAAGATGGGCCAGCCAAGGTGCTTTGTAGCACGGATGAAACATACAACTTTCCTCTAGTTCTTTAATGTTGTTTCCTTCCAACTATCATGACCCTAATTCTACCTTACAAATCTGGCTAGACAAGAGTATGCACATAGATACAGATAAGAGCTGACAACAGGGAATACAGGACAGATAAACTCCTGGGGACCAGCAATATTGAGAGTAGCCATACCAGGAGGGGAAGGGGAAGCTGTGGGGAGAACGGGGAATTGATCACAATGACCTATCTATAAACCCCTCCCAGGGGGATGGACAACAGACAAGGGGGAAAAGGGAGACATCGGACAGTGCAAGACAGGAAAAAATAATAATAATTTATAAATTGTCAAGGTTCATGAAGGAGGGAGGGAGGAAGCAAGGGAGGGAAGGAAAAAATGAGGAACTGATACCAAGGGCTCAAGTAGAAAGAAAATGCTTTGAAAACGATGATGACAACATATGTACAAATGTGCTTGACACAATGGATGGATGTATGGATTGTGATAAGTTGTACGAGCCCACAGTAAAATTATTTTTTTTAAAAAAGATAATCTATTCAAGCCGACTTGTTTCATAGATGAGCAAACTGGTTCAAAATAAGGAAGAGTTGAAGAAGTTAAACAGCGCACATTGGTTGAAGAATTGGATGATGTACCAACAGTTATTTAGTTCAAGTATATATTCCTAGAACTCCTTCTTTTACGACTGGAACATACTTAGCACTAGAACAAACGTGCCTTTAGGCCAATATCAGATGCTTTCTGGTTCCTTAAAACCAATCTGAACCACTTTTAGAAGTTATAGGTATCTCAGATAATGATAGATGATATTGATGATGATACATAGATAGATAGATAGATAGACAGGTAGAGTTAGCATGTAGCAAAAAAATTGGTTAGTATACAGTTTCCATAAAACACACAGAAATCCCAAAATAATTATAGAAAAAGTAATATGATGTGACATTTTTCAGTAAGTTAGACTAGCCATTTGTCTCAGAATTTGGAACAACAGTTTACTTGGCATTCTAATAAATGGATTGCATTTACAATCCATGGTTTATTGTTTTTTTTCACAATTAGAAATGCTTGAAAAGCCTGTAGTTAACTGTGTGTACAGTGCAAATACTGTTCATTTAAATGATCAATGCATGATTATGTTTGGTCTTTTACATCTTCCCTTCACACTTGGCCTTTTAGAAAGAAGAGCAATGAATATATGAAAACCATCATGAGGTGGTTTATTCCTTCTCACTGATGGTGTAATGAAGGATCAATGTTGGTCCTCCCTAAGGCTAGAAGGCAAGGCTACAGTGTGCATGTTCAGTGCTAATGGGTCTCCCTTGTTTTGTCTCTCCTGCAGCCAAGCAGAAGCTGAAGAAAGGAAAAAAGCTGGAGCAGAAGCAAGAAATAAAAGACAACATGAAAAGACACCGTCATATGCAGTGGGTGGAGCCCAGCCAATTAATCCTACTAGACACTAAAATTTGAACACATCTCAGAGACCTTAATACCTGAAACATTGTCCAGCAAAAAGCCCCCAGGAAAATCATAATGCTTTAATCGAAGGATGATGTTGAGCTGTTCTACTTTTGAACTAACACGATATAAAAAGAACACTCACTGGGAATTAGAAAAATAGATTCTAGTTCCAGTTCCGTCTTTTACAGACTATTCCCTTGAGCTAATTACATGATTCTCATTCTTATATCCTAGTGAGTTGAGCTAATAACTCTTGTCCCTCCTTTTCTGAGGGCAGTTGGAAAGAACTAAGAGATAAACTATGATGGACTTTGCAAACTATAAAACATCGTGGGAATATAAATGTTATCGCTATCTGGAAAGGGAAACGCTTGCCAACCCCCCACCCAATGACATACTAGCTAACGAAAGAATCTGAGGAGTTCCCAGCCTTTCAGAAGTCTCTGGGCCTCCTTGCCATTCTCGGAGGCCTGAGAGTAGACCCAGGCTTTGACCTCTCTGAAACAAAATCATCGGTACAGAGTATCCAATCCCAGAAAGAACCCGTGAGAGTACCAGTGTGCACAATAGCCAAGGTCCACAATGGCACATCATCAAGACCCAGGTCACCTCAAACTGATGTGTGATGCTTTTTCTATAGAAAAGAGCACCATTAATACTGTCTGTCATCTGCAGTTAGAAACCATTTTCTTTGGCTAACCGCTTTCCAGAGAAATTCGACCTGTGTGTTTCCAATCTACGAGCCTTTTTGCCATATCCCATATGAATGAGGGAAAACATACTTTGAACCCTCAGAAAAGCATGATTTTTACCTCTTAATTATGACAAATGTTAATATTTATAGTCTGATATCAATTAGCAACACCCACTGGTTCAGATAAGAAAGGAACCCTGTTGATACAATGGTTTAAAATATTGGACTACTAACCAAAGGGACAGTAGTTTGAATTCACCAGCAGCTCCACGGGGAAAAGATGAGGCAGTTTGCTTTCGTAAGAATTTATAGTCTTGGAAGCTCTATGGAACAGTTGTACTTTGCCCCCTAGGATCCCACATATCATCATTAACTACAGGATGAATGTCAGTCTCCAGTCTCCGTACCCCTCTCTCTTCTTGTTTCTCTCTTTGTGTCCATATAAAATTTCATGATTTTATATGCTTTCTACCTCCGTGACTCAACTTAATTCATTTTTGCGCTTATTTCCAAATGCATTCTAACCCCCCAAAAACCTACTCAAATAATTCTTGCTCCCGTTATTTCCTGTGGTTACCACAATACAAAATTGTGCCCTTAATCTCTAAATCATGAGTTCCCACTTGCCTATATTTTGCATTGATCCTATTTTGTTTAGAGAATCGCAGATTTTACGAGTCTGTGTTTCTATTATATTGTGACATCTTACTTTAAGTACTCACATCCCATAGTGAATGTTAAGTTTTTTGTGTTAAAGTCTACGTGTGGGAGAAGCACAATGAAAATCTTAGGCTCAAAGAGACAGAGCGTCAGTGTTGCTAATAGACCGCGGTTGTAGCAGTGACCATGTCAATCTACATCACCGAAGGCCTTCCTTTGTCACTGACACCTTGTTTGACCAAGATGAAGGCCTTTTCTAGGGACCGGTCCCTCCTGATAGCGTATAAAAGCACATGGGACTAAGTCGTGGTTCTGTCTTCTAGGAAGGGTTTTGGCTGACTTCTTCAGGAAGTATATGCTTTATCCAATAATGCTTCCCAACACCACAGTGTAAAGTCATCTGTTCTTTGATCTTACTTATTTGTGGTCCGTCTCTTGCTTTCACACATAGGTCAGTCATACCTTAGACTTCAAATGGCATTTTTGTTTTTGAACACATTAAAGAAACCTTTTGCAACAGATTTTCCCCATGCCATAGACAGTATTTCTTGACTGCTGTTTCCATGGGCACGGACTGTGGTCCCAAGTAAAATGAGATCCTTGTCGACTTCGCACTTTTCTTTATTCATTATAATGTTACTTATTAACCCAGTTGTAAGGGTTTTTGCTTCACGGCAAGTTGTAATCCACCTCGAAGACTGTAATCTTTGATTTATCCAATGCAGCTATTTCAAAATTCTAATTTAAATAAAAATGAAATCTATGTCCAACTTCCCCCCTCTCTCTTGTCAGGAACTGTGCAGTGAATTCCGCAGCTTTGTGAGGAATGGAAGACTCCCTTGCACCAGAGAGCACGACCCCATCAAGGGCCCCGACGGGAAAATGCACGGAAATACCTGCGCCATGTGTGCGGCCTTCTTGTGAGTTGTGCTCCTGCTGAGGACACGGGAAGGGTCTGGTCTTTTCGGTTTTATTTCTGTGTTCCGTTCTGAGATGACCGCTATCATAGAAGGACAATATAATGAAACCACTCAGAGGAAGGCCATAATTAGAGAAACACGTTGACTCACGGCCCTTGAAGGGTGTGAGGGGTTGAACATACTTAGAAGCTCAGTCTTCCCTTCATGAAAGGGAGTTTTCATTTTTAAATATGAGAAAAGGACCGGTCTAGCCAATTTCCATGGGTTCGAGTGAGGCCAATGAGTTAAAGCTATGAAAATAGCCAGAAAAAATGTGTATCATTTGAGGACTTTTGAGAAGAAATGAACTACCATATTTGTCAAGATGATAACCCAAACCTAACTCAGTGCCAAAAATCGATTCTGACTCCTCGTGACCCTATAGGTCAAGATAGAACTGCCCCTGTGGGTGTCTGAAACTGTAACTCTTGACAGGAGTGGACAGCCTCATCTTTCTCCTTCGAGTGGCTGGTGGTTTCGAACGGCAGACCTTGGAGTGAGCAGCCCATTGTGTAACTCACTACAGCACCAGGGCTTCTGTCAAGATAACAGGAGTAGATGATTCTACAGTTAAAGCACAGAGTTGATAGCCATCAGAGTTACTGTAGCACACCGGAAGTTAAAAAAACAAACAAACCCTTTGGACTAGGCTTTAAATGTTTATTTAGCTTGTACTTAATAACTATGTATCTTTGAGCACGTTATGTATTCTTTTTAGAATCAGTTTTCTTATCTTTAAAGTGGATCTATGACCAAAATCTCAGCTACAAGAAATTGTAAGGAGTTAATAGTATGTGCACTTGGCTAAGCACAAAGTATGATTTCAGTCAATACTGATCATAGTTATTAAATAACAGTTGAGATCACTGAAAATCTGGAAATTCTATGGTTCTGACGCATCCCATTTTAAATAACCCGCTTTTAGCCAAGCAGAAGAAGAGGAAAAGAAAAAGAAGGAAGCTGAATTGAGACATAAGAGACAGTCTGAAAATATGACTTCGTTTGAGGTGAGTGTACGTCACTGAACACATCATTGACATGTGTGTCTGGAGTTCCATGGATGGTATGTAGCTGAGTAACTCTTAGAAGCTGTATTACACCTTTCCAGTATGTGTGTGTTCACATGTGTGTTACCAAGTACATGGGCGACTATTTTGAGGTCGAAGGTCCATAGCTTTTATCAGGTACCTCCAAAATGAAGAATCATTCTAAAATAAGCCAATGATTGCTTCTACCTAAGTGGGGGGTGGGGGGGGCTCTCAAGCTCTTCAACTCCTTTTGGCAATCTATGTTTAACACCTCCAATGTCCTCCCTCTGTTTCCCAGGAGTTGTGCGCCGAGTATCACAAATTTATGAAGAATGGACAGCTTCTCTGTACTAGAGAGAATGATCCCATCCAAGGCCCAGATGGGAAAATGCATGGAAATACTTGTTCCATGTGCGAGGCCCTCTTGTAAGTAGAGCTCAGTCACAGTGCTTCTAAGGAAGCAGGAGAAGGAATTACTTAAAGAGGTTTTGATGCATAGTATTCAATTTGGGATGTATAATAACATTTAAAGGAATTAAAAACAAACAAACAAAAAGAACAAAACTAACAACAACAACAAACAAAATGAAAAAAAAAAAAAAACCACAGGCAAAAATGGAGCGTTTTCAGATAATAACTGCTGATAAACAAAACAACCACAACAAAAACATCAAAATCAGCTTCTAGGACATTAAAAGACATTAAAAGCACTCAGTCTTTTAACCAGAGAAGAAAGTACTTCACGATAATCAGACTAAATGTTTTCGGACTCTGCAGGATTAACAGCTGAATTGTGAATGATTATAAATTGTTGTTAGGTGTCAGTGAATCCGTTCTGACTCAGCCACCCTGCGTACCACAGAACAAGACCTGCCTGGCCCGGCACCATCCTCAATCTTTGCTGGTTGAAAATCATCGGTACAGTCACTGTACCAATCCATTTCCTTGAAGGTCTTCCTTGTGTTCTCTGACCTTCTACTTTACCAAGCTTGATGTCCTTCTCCAAACACTGGTCTCTGGACAACATGCCCATGGTGTGGGAGATGAAATATCACTCTCCTTGAATCTGTGGACCGTCCTGGCCATACTTCTCTCCCAGCACACGTAGTCATTATTCTGGAAGTCCATGTGTGGACCATTTAATATTCTTTGTCAACATCATAATTCAAAATCATCTGTTCTTCTTTGGTCCTCCATCTTCATTGTCACACATTTGCATGCATGTGAAGCAATTGAAAATCATGGCAGCAGTCATGTAAAAATATGCATGGGCACTCACAGAGCACAGGGCAGATGAGGCTTTGTTCCTGACATGGTCTTCCCAGCAAAGCCCGGCCACCCACCTGCATTTCCCTCCGACACACCTGGTGCCCAAGCCTCGCTAGAGCTTGCCCGAGACATGCGACCTTTTCTGTATGAATTATCCACAGTAAAATGTGAAAAATAAACAAGGCTTTATTTTAATTTAGTTCCTGTTGTGCCCAATAAAAATCAAATCTTTAAGGAACACACACACACAAAATATCGGTAGAGTTCGTGGCAAAGATTATGGGACTTTTTTCGGTTCATTATTTTTCTTTTTGCTCCTCTCCGAGACATCAAGCAACAGAATGAAAATGGATGGGAGAGGACAGGAAGAAAGAGTTGGGATTACAATGAAGAAACGTTTTGTAATGGAATTGAGTAAGGCTGCTTCAGGAATGATGATTTTGTTCCATGAGAGGTAGATGCCCACTTAAAGGAGGCTCCAAGGATGGTGTTAGAATAGCTACAGTGTGTCTCAAATAAGCATCTCTGAATTTTCTGATCTCTTTGATCTTTGACCCATGAGCAATCCTGATTTATTTTCTATGCGACATGACGACACTAAAGGTTTCAGCTATTCAGTCTTCTTTGACTGAATAGAATGCATGTTCTGGTATAAATTTGAGCTTTTGAAGCATCAAAAATCGATTTCACTGAAATGAAGACAATGACTCTATTATCATTATAACCCAAATATTAATCAAGTGTATATAGTTCTCCAGTAGGTGTTAAGAGCTTCACTCTTAGCTCTTTCAAACTCCACAACAACCATGTGAAGTAGACTATGTTATCACAAGTACAGATGAAAAAAGCTAAGCACCAGAGAATGATACAAATGTCAGAACAGGATATATGCAATGCAGATAAAGGAAATGGGTGATGTATTTCTCACATAGGTATAGATAGGGCACAATCAATTTTCAGGGTTTTTATGAACTTCTGATAGTTCTTCCTGCCTGTGCCTAAAGGCTGGCTTTGTTATTATTATTAGTAGTAGTAGGCAAACATTTTTATTAGGACATAATCCAGACATCATACCATTCAATAGTTCAGTCATGTCAAGCAGTGGTGTATATTCACTACCACATTATTTTAAAAATATTTTCTTCCTGCTGTACTTCTTGACTTCAGCTCCCCATTTCTGCCACCCTTTCCCTGCCATGCTCCCTGAGCCTATTCTAGTTATAGTCCTTCTAGACTCACCCAACCTGGGTTTCCTACATCAAAAAACATAGAAAGATGCATAACTCAAGGCCAAGAATGTTACCAACAATAACAAAACACAACAGAAATAAGCCCTGACGTCAGACACATACACACATACACACACACCAGAAAATATTAAAAACAAGAACAACCTCAAAGTGTATCAAAAGGGATATCAGGTGAACAAGTTTTAACCATTCATTTTAATCTACGATAAGCATCTTTCCAATATTCCCATCCTACAGTTACGGTCAGCGGCGACTCGCCTGAGGCTTATTCCCCATGTAGATCTTGTGAACGTATTTTGGACTTCCATTGTCATCCATAAACCAAAACAGCCGCCATGGAGTCAGTGCTGTAAGGGTTCATGGGAACAGAGAGCCCGTCCTTCTCCCGGGAGCTGCTGGGAGTTTGGAGCAGCTGACTTTGGAGCTCACAGCCAGTGTTTAACCACGATGCCCCCAGGGCACCTGACTGTCCTCCACAGGCTTCTGCCAACCGGAATTTCACACTTTCAGCTCTGATACCGGGCCCTCCTGTACATCAGGCTGGCTTTTACTCTGTCTTACTTCTAAGAGACACCTTCAGTCACAAAAAGTAATTCTGCCACCTAGTGATCAAAAGGGCTCCTCCTCTCATAATTCCCATGATAGAAAGAAAATGCTCCTTAGAATTTTCAGTAAAGTTAAATTTGTGGTAAAACTTAAATCAGCTTTCATATTTAAAAAAAAATGAAGAAAACTCACATTTTTGAAGTTGATTCAATAAGTTTCTTCAATCAAATAGAATAATTATTAATTTAAAAAGAATGTTTAGTTGCCTCGTAATTTATGGAGATGACTCGCTCAAACAAAAATAACTAGTAAACATTTAGCCATTTCAAGAGGTAGCATTTGATCACGGAGCCAACGGTGCTGAAGGAAGAAGTCCAAGCTGCACTGAAGGCGGTATCTGAAAACAAGGCTCTAAGAACTAATATTATACCGGTTGGAATGTTTCAACAAGCTGAGGAAACACTGGAAGCACCCATTCATCTAAGACAAGACATTTGGAAGACAGCTACCTGGATAACTGAATGGAAGAGGTCTATATTTGCACTCATCCCAAAGAAAGGTGACCTCAAAGAATGTGCAAATTTATAGAATAATCATTAATATCACATGCAAGTAAAACTTTGCTGAAAATCATCCAACGGTTGCAGCAGTACATTGACAAGGAACTACCAGAGGTTAAGGCTGGATTCAGAAGAGGACATAGGACAAGGCATATCATTGCTAATATCCAGTGGATCTTGGTTGAAAACAGAGAATGCCAGAAAGATGTTTACTTGTGTTTTATTGACTAGGGTATGGCATTAGACAGCATGGACATAACACATATCTCCAGACACGAGAAGGATGTGAATTTCAGAACACTTCCTGGTGTTCATGAAGAACCTGTACACGGTTCAAGAGGAACCAAGGGAATGCTGCATCGATTAAAATCAAGAAAGACGTGCATCAGGATTGTAGACACTCATGATATGTATTCAAATTCAGCATTAGGATTGGGAAAAGTCTTATTAATAACCTGAGATATGCAAAGAACACAACCTTGTTTGCTGAAAGTGAGGAAGACTTCAAGCACTTGCTGTCGAAGGTCAAAGATTATAGCCTTCAGTATTATTACAACTCAATGTAAAGGTAACAAATTACGACTACTTAGCACTGGAACAATAGATAACTTTATTATAAATGAATCAAAGATTGAAGCTATCCAGCTTGCTTGGATCCACAATCGTGCTCATTGAAACAGGAGTGAAGAAATCAACAGATGCATTGCATTGGGTAAATCTGATGCACAAGACCTCTTTAAATTTTGGAAAGCAAGGATGTTACTTTGAAGTCTAAGATGCACTTGACCCAAGCCATGATACTTTTAATCTTCATGTGAAAGTTGCACATAAATGTGGAAGACCAAAAAAGAATTGATGCATTTGAATTACGGTGCTGGTGCTTCTGAAGAATATTAAAAGTACCAGCGACTGCCAAATAAAAAATCAAATGTGTCTTGGAAGAAGTACAGCCAGAATGCTCCGTAGAGTCAAGGATGCTGAGACTTGGTCTCATGTGCTTTGGACATGTTATCAGGAGAGGCCAGTGCCTGGAGCAGGGGGCCTTGCTTTGTAAAGTAGAAGAGCAAAGAAAAGCAAAAAGACCCTCAACAAGACGGATTGACACAGTCCCTGCAGCCGTGGGCTCACACATGAGAACACATGGGAGGGTGGCGCAGCCCTGGTGTAAATATAGGGTTGCTGTGAGTTAGAGGAGACTTGACATCAAACAACCGCAACAACATGGGTGAGCTTTGAAATTCCTTGACAATGGTTAAAAAGATGAATAATGAACATGTTAGAATCAAGATTCTACTCCAATATGACTCAGTTCTTTTCCCTCCTTTTCCATATTCTTAGTCAACAGCAAGAAAGAGCAAGAGTGAAGCCTAAAAGAGAAGTTGCAAAGGTAATTCTCACTGAGAAACTGATGCTCCTCCTAGACATATTATCCTCTAAAAAGCATTCCCTACGTATCTTTATTATAGGTCTTTTCCTGCCAATTTTCATACCTGATGTGAAGAAAGCATTTCATCTGAAAAAATTGCTCTTGATTAGAATTTTCTAGATTGCAACTTTATGCAAATTTAAGTTAATTTAAGAAAATGTTCACTCTAAGTATTTTTTCATATTTAGTAATTCTTAGATTGTTGTTTTACCCAGGTTATTTTTAATTTATATAATTTTCTAATTCCAATTTATTATAACTACACCTCTATTATTTCAAGTAGAGTACAAGATCATCATCATTCACATTAGTCTCCTTTAAAAGTATAACAGTTTTTAATATATAATCATATTTGTTCTTTGTCACCAACCATAGAGGAAGCACTACATTTCTCATCCCTGATTAATATAGTTAAGCAAGTCCTCTGATTTCTCTAGTTTCTTTAACCCTTATGCCTTTATAATTTATAATTTTACAGATTACTTAATAAAATATGATGGTAAATGCTGGTCTCTCATGAAGTTGCCAAATGAAAATTATTTCCTTAAAATTTTTTAATTTGTTTTTCAGTGAAGCATTACAAGATTTGTACTTACAAATTTTATGTCCTAACAACAGCTATGGAAAATACAAATCTACCATTATTTGGGATAAGATGACATAGCTAAAAAAAAAAATTGTCTCCTCTTAAGTCTGTCAATTACTTTGTCTGCTAGGTAGGACCTTTTGTTGTAATTAAAAATACTGCTAAGGTAGAACTAACTGAACATGCCTTTCATTCATCTTATCAGTTGCCAAATCTGTTTAAGCTTTCTAAATGGTCCTAACACATTCTTCTAATTCCTCCCCCCACTGTTACTCTCTTGGTTCAAAGTCAGCATTCTCAGTCCCTGGGCTATATCAACATAATACCAGAAATGCGTCAGTTTCTCCATGAACAATATTTGTTTCCACTCCATCTTATTCTTTTCACATTCTTAAAATGCAAAAGGCAACTGATACAGATAATCGCTTTTGTGTGTTTTTCTCCTTACTACTCTCCAGGCTTACTTTTTACCTTATTAGAGGGAAAGAAGCTGGGAATATGGAAACTCATCCTGAGCAAATCATTTCTTATTCCCTAGGATATTTGCAGTGAATTTCGGGATCAAGTGAGAAATGGAATGCTCATATGTACCAGGGAGAATGATCCCATCCGTGGCCCCGATGGCAAAATACATGGAAACAAGTGCGCCCTGTGTGCAAGCATCTTGTGAGTATCTTTCTCCCTCTAAATGTCATTATTATTTCTGAGACTCTGATTTCTCATAAAGGTCTAAAATATATATCATGGATATTTGTAGTACAACTTAAAAGTTGTTTGAAAAAGACTAGGTGACATTGAATCACATAGAATGTTATTATCACATATAACCCTCTCCCAGGGGGATGGACAACAGACAAGTGGGTGAAGGGAAACACCGGTCAGTGTAAGACATAAGAGATTAATAATAATTTATGAATTATCAAGGGTTCCTGAGGGAAGGAGGGTGGGGGAAGGAGGGGAAAAATGAGGAGCTGTTACCAAGGTTGCAAGTATAAAGAAAATGTTTTGAAAATAATGATGGCAACGAATGTACAAATGTGCATGACACAATGGGTGTATTTATAGATTGTGATAAGAGCTATATGAGCCCCCTATAGAATGGTAAAAAAAGAATGTTATTCTCTTTTAAATTATCCTTCTGTCAGCTAATTGACTCATCAAGAAGGTCACAGTTTAGTATTTGATTAAATAGTCTCCTTGGTCTGTTTTCCATCTCTGACATTCGTTGTTCTATGAGTATGTTCAGACCACGTGTGTCAGTACATAGAGAGACACCCCCAGAGAAAGCCCTCATGATACAATGGCTGAAAGATTGCCTTTTGACTCTTCAGCTGCTCTGCAGTTAACAAACCCTCAAACCAAACCCACTGCCGTCAATATGACTATGAGTCCCGGTGACCCTATAGGACAGTGGAGAGCTTCCTTCTTCTATTTCCAAGGCTGTGAATTACTGCACAACAGAAGCTTTCAACTTTCTCCCAGGAAGTGACTGGTGAATTTGAATTGCCGAGCTTGCAATTAGCAGCCAAATGCATGTCACTTTGCTACTAGTGCTTAAAGTCTTAGCAATTCAAAGACCCAGAACAAAAAATCATATCAATGTGAACAACAAGGGGGTGCAGAGTGGAGACCAAAAGCCCATCTGTAGACAATTGGACGTCCCCTTACAGAAGGGTCACAAGGAAGACATGAGCCAGTCAGGGTGCAGTATAACACTGATGAAACATACAGCTTTCCTCTAGTTCTTTAATGCTTCCTCCACTCCCCACCACTATCATGATCCCAATTCTACCTTACATATCTGGCTAGACCAGAGCATGTACATGGGTACAGATAAGAGCTGGAAACACAGGGAATCTAGGGCAGATAAACTCCTTAGGACCAATAATGAGAGTAACAATACCAGGGGGCGGGAGGAGAGGGAGAAAAAGGAAACTGATCACAATGATCTTCATATAACCCCCTCCCTGGAGGCGGGCAACAAAAAAGAGGGTGAAGGGAGACATCGGTCAGTGTAAGACAGTAAAAAATACTAACAATTTATAAATTATTAAGGGTTTGTGAGAGAGGGAGGGTGTGAGAGGGAGGGGAAAATGAGGAGCTGATACTAAGGGCTCAAGTAGAAGGAAAATGAAGATGGCAACAAGTGTGCAAATGTGCTTGACACAATGGATGGATGTATGGAGTGTGATAAGAGCTGTACGAGCCTCCAATACAATGATTTAATAATAAAAAAATGACTTCAGCCTAGTCTGAGGTCATGGCTGAGAGGTCTAAGGCACTATGTGAGGACTTCAGCCTAACCTAGGCTGTCCCTATGAGATAATTCTAACCTATTATATTGGGCTCAATTGTTGGCATCTAACCACAGTAATATTATATATGTGTGTGTGTATAAACATACACATGCTATGTATGTTTATACTTAAGTATGGATGTATACATATACACATATATAAATGTTTATATACACAAAAAACTTCATGGAAAAATTCCATTACCTTTTAATTCCACTTTCTCACATATATTTTGAACTGCCCTTGTCTATTCACATAAAGGTAAGTAAAAAATATTGCGACTATGATTCCAACTCATATATATGCACAAATTGATTAGAAACCAAATGCATTTACGTATCATTCTGCCATCAGTGGGGTGATCTTGGGGCCAGAGCTCAATCTCATGGGACAGTAGAGCAGAAGTTGATTATGATTACCACTTTTCGGGCTCTCTCTCATTTTAAGTTCCATCTGGACCTCCAAGCCTCATCCTAAAATAAGTATTAAAACTGTATTTAAATAATATCTCATTAAATGGGCACCTAACTGTCAGTTACACCTCAGCTTTCACATGCTTTGGTCCAAATTTACGTTTTCGCTTAGCTTCTCAAAAGGAGAGTTTGACAGTGCAATATTAAGACCATATGATATTGTGACCTGAGATTCAAGTAATAAGGATTTTTCGTTCACTTTCTAGATTTGTTGGTGCTATTTAAATGAGTAGGAGCCCAGCTAGCACATGGTTAAAAACTCAGCTATTAACCAAAAGGTTTTTGGTTAGAGCCCAACAGCTGCTTAGTTGGCTTCTGTGAAGATATATGACCTTGGAGACCTTATGGGACAATTCTTCCCTATCTTCTAGCGCCCATTGCTATGAGTTAGAATTAGACTAACCTGCAATGGGTCTGGGCTCTTGCTGAAATAACTGGACAATACATGCTGAGGATTTTTCACACTCCGATATTCAACGTGTCAAGAATGTCCGAATATTAGACTCAAAATCAACTTCCAAAAATCTGTTGGACCATCCTCTTCGCATATTTCTATTGTACTCCAACCTTAAATTTTGACTTTAATTCTTATTTTATTAAATTGATATTTAATATTTTAGATATATATAATTTTTCTAAACATGATTTATGATGAGTTTGGTTTTGTAGTATCATTATCAAACTTTGCTTTCATCATTGTGATGGTAGCTGTTCAGATAGGGAAAAAAGAATGAAATCACGATAATTGTCACATCTTTTATATCACTGATGTAACAACTACTGACCTGCAGACAAAATATCAGATGGATACTACTTACCAAGAAAAAGAGCAAGCATGGTAGTTTCATTTAATTTTTAAAGGGTGAGCGATTCTGGAGTCTATCTACATTATTGGCTAAAGCAATAGGAACTTTGGGACTGGATAATTTGCACTTGAGACTGAATCTTGATATAGGTCAAATATGTATGTATGAATGGGGATGCAATAAAGATCCTCATTCATTCTTACATCATACTATGAAAAAGAATGGAGATTCATACTTAGTTTGTATCTTCTTTTTCTATTACAGCAAAGTTGAAGAAGATGAAAAAAACAACAATGACAAAGAAAAAAAGGAAAAAGTTGAGGCTGAAAAAGTTAAGAGAGAAGCAATACAGGTAGTTGCTTTCGATCAGCGCAACCTAGTAAACGTTCCATCATCTTTTCACTTTGCACGACTCCTACTCCCTCCTCTCGCCCCAGCATCTTTTGTGACTTTGCAAACTGATCATGAGTATCACCATGTGTAATATGAGATCCTTTTCATTCAATTTATTGACATCAATCTGGCCTAGTTCTTAAGCATTAGCGAGGAGCTCAATTATTGAGCCACTGGCCCTCCAAAGAACTATATATAGATGTGTCTCACTGTCTGAATGTGGACCAATAGAGGGAGGTACTCAGATTTTTCTCCATATTGTGTTATACAGGAATTAGGCTTTAGTCCCAGTTTGACCACAATTCTGTGAAATTTTGGTGAACTGTTGCTTGAGAAAATCTTCAAGCCCTTCATTCCCTTTCTGTAAACTTTACCTGATGATGGTGATGGTGAAAGCTATTGTTTATGTAGTTACTGTCATATGCCAGAGATTGTCAATACTTTATAACTAGCTTTGTAGTAACTATTTAAAGTATGTCTTATTATCTGTATTGTAGAGAGGAGGACTCAGAGCTCAGAGAACAAATCTGAAACAAACAGAGTAGTTTTCAGCAGTAACAAACCACGAGTGTGGCTTCAAAGCTTCTGGTGCACTCTAGATTGGTGCCTACTGCTGCGTGGAATATTTCTTCAGGCCATTACTCAGGTCTTCATTACCTCCAGACTCATTTCTTCTACTGTTTTCCCTTATTTGAAAAAGCGTATTCCTGTCTGCTCTTGGTACTCTTATTTTTACTTCCGACAGTCTATTCTTAGCTATGAGACCCAAGTAATTATTTAAAAACATAAGGAATATCAAGATGCCCAACAATAAGAACCAATGTCCATCTCATGGCTTATCACGCCTCACATAATCTAAACGTTGTCAACATTCAGACCTTATTTTCTATGATGCTACCCATCATTCCCTTGTGCTAGCCACACCGGCCAACTTATTGCCTCTGGAACATGCCAAGCACGCTGTTCACGGGTATCCATGGCTAGGACAGACGATTTAGGGGTCATTCTTGGCCCCGTCCCCTCCCAGTAAGATCAGGCAGTTAATTTTTGTGTGGCTACATTTCTTTATTTATACAAAATTGTACATGTTATGTCTACTATTTCTATGAAAACCCAAGGGACTCACTCCTAAGTGATAGTACAGTCTCTCATATACACATATATGGACTCCAAATGTACTCAATCTATTCATTGTATTTGGGGACATTAGTTCATAATTGTTTACATTTCCTTTTCTGATTCCTGAATCCTCCCTTTATTTGATAGGAACTGTGCAGTGAATATCGTAACTATGTAAGGGATGGAAGGCTCCCATGTACCAGAGAGAATGACCCCATCGAGGGTGCAGATGGGAAAATTCATGGCAATACGTGCTCCATGTGTGAAGCTTTCTTGTGAGTAGTGCTTCCGTCATTGCTACTGCAGGGAGTACGAGAAGGCAGACCTAGAGGGGGTGAAGGAGTAATATTGAAGGTTTTCCCTAAGAGATAGGTCATGACTACTGTCTTTCTATTGAGTTCGCTGTAGTTGCTATTAAAGTCATACAACATTTATCCTAGTATTCTTGTTGTTCCGAACGGTGTTTGAATCAGTATCAAGGGAAGACCATTTGCTGAGGGTTAATTCTCCCAGAGTCAGTGACATAGAATTACTGATACTTCTTCCACTGCGTATGTGGGTCACTGTCGCGGACAATCCAGAGATCTAGTCATTGGATGTTAATGACTGGAAATCTATTAACAACTGGTAACTGTTAACAACTATACATGACAGTCATTATGTTTAATATTTCAGATGATTTTCTGAGAAGGACCAAAGATTCAAAAAACAAAACATTAAAAAACATACATTCTGTCCAGTGCCGTCAGTTCTGATACGTGGTGACCGTATATTTTACAGACTACAATTGGGCTGCCCAGGCTTTTCTTGACTGTAATAGTTACGAAAGCGGATTTCTAGGCCTTTCCAAGCACCAGCCCTTCAACTTGTAGCCGAGAGCAAGCTGCGTCATTCAGCACTCCCCCTCTCACTACAAGTTGATTCCAACTCTTAGCTGCCCTGTACCACAGCGTAGAACTGCTCTTGTGGGTTTTCAAGGTTGTAACTTTTCATGAGAGTAAAAGGCCACGTTTTTATCCCAGAGTGACAGGTGGTTCTAATTGCCAACCTTTGGTTAACAACCCAATACCTGACCACTATGCCACCAGGAGAGAGAGGAGAATACCTGTAATTTCTATGAGAATGGGAATAATGAACATTGACTTTCTGATCTGTTATGGCATGTTTGTCTTATAATTAAAACAACATTAAAACAAGCAAAAATATGAAAAGGTTTGCATTTTCCCACTTCCAAACTAAGTTGGCAGATGTATAGAAGCAATGGATGGTCTCTCGCTACAGAGGATTTCCTCTTTTTAATACATTAAGTACTAGGAATAATGATCTATTTTCCCTCTCTTGCAGCCAACAAGAAGCAAAAGAAAATGAAGTTAATTCCAGAACAAAAGTTAAAAGAGCAGCTGATAAGGTAGTTGCCCTGGAATGTTGATATATTAATGAAAGGATGAAATAATAATAAAAGAGACCAGGTTTGCTATTCTGATAGAGACTGGTAGAACTCCTGATACTGTAATTCTTAGTCACCCTCAGGTCTGGAACTGAACTCACCCCTGTTCAGAGTAATCAACCATCTAAGATCAAAAGAGCAGCACTTCCCCAAGGACACAGTTTAGAGGGTTAGGGCAGAAGGCGGAATGGAAACAGGAAACACAGGGCGGAAGTGGGATACAGGGTGGTACCTTGAGGGATTGTAATGTGCGCATTGGGTTGTGCATGGGTTGTTGGATGCATAATGATGTTCTGCCTTGTAAACTTCACCCAATTCACAATAAAAAGTCTGTTTTTGATTTTTAAATAAATAAAGGAGGAGGTTTGCAATTTCTCTCTAAAAACAACTCATGGAATTAGTGATGCTGACTTTTTCAAACCTACCCAGTGGCTCCGTGGGGAAAAGTTCTGGCAAACTGCATCTGTAAAGATTATGACCACGAAAATCCTCACGAGACAGTTCAACTCTGTCACATGGAGTTAATATGAGTAAAAAATCAACTTGACACATCTAATAACAGCAGTTTTGAAGGATCTAAAGGGTTTCCTTACAGGGAGTAAATATTTGAGGCTTTGAGGCAATATTGAGTTGGGTGCAAAGACAGTCCTCATGCCTAGTGCTGTGGCCCTAAAGCAACCAAAGATGCATGTCAGCGAATATGTGGCTGTGTTACAATTAAGCTTTATAAAAACAGAAGATGGCCTGGATTTTTCCCAAAAGCTTCAGTTTGCTGACTCCAACATAACCCCTCTCATTTTTTAAAACTGAGAAGATATAAAGTTCAGAGAACATAGAGCATTCCTATTAGAACCTGTATCTTCACAATTCAAGGTTCTCACATGGAAAAGTGTGAAGAATGTATCCAAACCCTTGCTTCCTGGCATCCAGCCCCGCCTGCATTGTAACAGAATAGTGTATTTTGCTTTGTGTGAACGCACTTGTTCAAAACCCAGGTAGGTCCATGCTTTATATTTAGTGTGCTTCTGGTGCCAGTTTGGGGATGGGGGGATAAAGAAAAGAGTTATCCTTAAATAATATGTTCTTGGGTTCAGAAGTACTGACTCCATGTAAGCTCTCCAGTTTTGGGGTCATTTATTTTCACCATTAAAGACTCTTGATAGTAAAAAAAAATGATCTCCAAAGAAATATCACATTCTGTATGGTTATATTTTACCCAATTGCAAATCTGAATTAAAAATAATATGAGTGCCTTGTTTGAACAAAAGTTACTCCAATATATTAAGAGAAAATTCTCTGGTAATGGCCAATTCTTAATCTCACATCAGTTAGTAAAACAAACTTGTCTCCCCAATCACCCTTCTTTCACTAAATCTGTTAAGAGTTAGGAGTTCTGGTAATGAATCTTGAATCAGAGGTAAGAAAAAAAAATCACACTGCAGTTCACATTATCAACTTCAACTAATAGATTCAGAAAAAGAAGATACAATTCAATCATTTCTATGATCCTGTGATTAAGTTGCTCTCAATAAAGTCATCATTATATATTTATAAAGTCACTATGAGTCAGAATCAACTCAATGGTAATTGGAGTGCTTTATAGAAATGGTGATAAATTGTAGCTATATTATTTCACCTTATTCGCTCCAGAATTCAGGGCTTATATTGAATATCTAATTTATATTCATCAATATTATTTTAGCCATGTGGACTAGATTCCAAAGTCTTTAAGAACGGAGAACATCCCAGAATGAGAACGAGAGTTGAAATCATTTTGCGGACAGTATGATTGCAGTATCTGGCAATGTTTAGTTTTTGGAGAGGACCAAGGGAGGTATCAAAAAAGGACAAGAAAAGTAGTGCCAAAGATTAAAAAGTCTCACGTGAAAGAAAATAAATACTGTTTCTCTGAGGGAAGCACAACACTTCATCTTCACCGACTGATTTAAGGAAACATGATCTACTTTTTATGACAATTTATAAAAGCAAATCTATGTTTTTGCTGTTGTTAGATGCCACCAAGTTGTTTCCAACTCAGTGTTCTCTGGGCAACAGAAAGAAACACTGCTCCGTCCTAGCGTTCTCCCAGTCCTTCGGATCTCTCAACTCAGTGGTACAACCACTGTTCCAGTCCGTATCCTAGGACCATCCCCTTCGTTTGCCTTCTACTTTCCCAAGCATGATGTCCTATCCAGAAACAGGCCCCTTCTGATAACATTTCCAAAGTACATGAGATAAAGTCACACCAATCTCACTTCTAAGTTGTTTTCAAGCCGATTTTTCTATCCCGCTGGCAGACCATGGTGTCTTTAATATTGCTCAGCAACACCATAACTCAGAGGCTTCCAGTCTTCAGCCTTCCAATTCCTTGTACAACTTTCACATTCATGAGAGGTGATTGAAAACACCGTGACTTATGTCAGACACACATTAATCCTCAAAGTAGCTCTGATATAGAGGAGTTACTGTTATTTTTCTGCGTCTCCAAAATGTAGGACTATGGCTAAGCAGTTACTGTCAAGTTGACTCCAAACATTGGTGTGTGTGAGTAGAACTGTGATACATAGGATTTTGATAATTATTATTATTATTATTAGCCTTCTGAATCACTTCTGAGTACCTTGAATCTAAGTATTTCCGTTAGAAGTCAACCATGCTAACTGGTTGGTTTACCCCAGGACTCCAATACTCCAATATTTATATATATATATATGCATATATGTTTGTATGTGCACACACATGCACACCTGCATGGCTAATTTCAATGTGAACTAGCTTGTAAAGTAGTTCCTTCACAGCAAATGGTTTCTTGGCAGGTATGATGTAAAGGGATTAAGATACAGTATAGGTAGTTAAACAAAAGGAACTTAGAGACTCTATCCAAACATGAAGTTTTTGATTTTCAGACACATGAAGTGTTTCATTGGTTGGTTGGTTGGTTTTGCATGGCATTTTGATGTAAAAGTATTGAACAATAAAAGCAAGTACTGTTTTAGCCCGTCATCAGAGACTGCAGTTTAAAGAGTCTTGCTTCTGTGTGAATCCAGGCGTAGTCTGTATTTGGGGGCTAAATCTCAAGAGAAACAAACATGCACAGACACATCTTCCGCCCCCGCCCCCCCACACACACCATTTTAAGGTCTATATGTTTAGTAACAACTGGATGATGCAGTTGCCGAGGTGGGGGGTTTGGGAATTTTAAAAATTTCCTCCCCACTTCATTCCAGCATAGTAGAAACCCAACAAACATAATTTCCAGGAAAATATCCAAACACTTGACTTTTCTTCTTTTTTTATAGGATACATGCAGTGAATTTCGGAGTCTTATGCAAAATAAAATGCTTTTCTGCACAAGAGAAAATGATCCTGTGCGTGGCCCAGATGGCAAGACCCATGGCAACAGATGTGCCATGTGCAAGGCACTCTTGTGAGTGCACAGCTGAATCCCCTGAGTGGGTAGCAGAGTTGGGGTGGGGGTCAGAGCTGTACAGATATATTTCATTACACATAAAAACAAAGCATTATCTGTAAAGCGTTTTTAGACAAATTCTCTCAAAAGACCAAGGTTCTCAATTCTAGAAAAAAGATACTATTATAAGTAGGCCATTGCCTTCTCCAAGAGTTCCAAAGTTAGAGACTCACAAATCACAACATCTTTCTGGATAAAATTCCAAATCCTTTGCTTTCAAATAAGATTTTTTTTCTGGTTCAGGATAGAATTCCAATTGGGAACAAAACCACGTGTTACTGCTAATCTACCTACTTTTTTGACACCATCACCCTTACAGGAAAAGCAACATTTAGAAATGGTTTTATTTTTTTCCTGAGCATCTCAAATGTAAAATCTGTATAATGAAGACTCTATAATGAATATAATAACTACTCTTATCAGAAATCATATAGTCTATCAGAGATTAGACATGCACATACGCTAACATAGTACATAGGAAGAAATTCTCAATGCAAACTGATGTCTACAAAGCTATGGTCCATCAAGGGAGAGAAAAGTTTTATGGGAGGGGAATAAATTACACTTTTAATTTGGAAAGTGTGTGACATGGCAGTGAAGTATGATTAGGAAGAAGGGAATACCATTAGTGGAATATCTAAAATTAAGAAAACTGTATCGAAGTACAGAAATGAGCAAATTATCTTCTTTAGGTAGAACTCTCTAGCTTTACTAGCTTTGAAGTCAAGACCAAGAATTCTGAAGTATATATATTGAGAAGTTGTGAAAGTTTTTCAGGTGGGAGAAAAAGTGGCTTAAATGTCGTTCTTCCAGGGACATTCATCAGATAGTAGTAAAAAGAAAGGAAAAATGCTGGAAGGAACTACAACTCAGAAAGCTACTGACACTGTGGAGGTTTGCCGTGAATTCACTGAGAAAAATATGGAGCATTGGGAAGTAGGACCACGATGGGAGGCATAGTAAAGGTGAAATCAATGTTATGTGGCAATAGCTGTGAGCCGAAGGACTAGAAGCAGTGAGATATCACTAAAAAATATTGTCCTTTGAAAGACAGAAAATCCAGAAGGAAACATACATTTGGCATAGACAATAATTATTTGTGAACCTTTTGAATATGAAGTACTATGAGAAATTGTGCAGGTGGTGTCCAATGAAGATTTATTTATGAGCTAGTTATTAACTGTTCACATTATATTGCACCTGGTCATGTGTAGCTTGATCTTTACCTTCTTCAAAGAATGAAGTTCTTTCATGCAAAGAAGTTCACATAACTAATTACTTTACTTCAGAGAAGAGGGTCTGGTACATAATAAATATTCAATAAAGCCTGACAAAACCTGGGCAAGTTTAATATAATCATATGATTAAAAAATTATAGAAATTATTCCACCCTCTTCGATTTATTATTTGCTACTTTCTAATTTCCAGTCAGAAGGAAGATGAAGAAAGAAAGAAGAAAGAAGAGGAAGATCAGAGAATTACCTCAGGACATGGTGGAGGCGGTGGAGGTGGAGAAGGTGGAGAAGGTGGTCAGGCTCAGGTGAGAACAACCTCTGATGGCATCACCACAGTGGGTTGAACTCCTTGGCGAAGTGACAATCACATGGCCCTGAGAACAGTTAAGTGTATACAGTGCTCGAATGAAGACTATCTTTGGAAGATCAGAGGAGTTTCACTATTGATGCTGTAGGTAAGATCAACAGGTAGTTCTCAACCTTGAACGAGCTTCTGTTCGGAGGACTGCTCTGCCGCGTGTTAGTTCTGACGTAAGTGAAAAACTTGGTTTTCTTATTCGTAGTTCTCATGATTACTGTCTTTTATTAACAGTACTTTTATAAATCCGATCTCTATTTTCTGAGATTGGAAACATACATGAGAATACCAGCAAATTGTGTGCTTTAGTAGTTTATGTACTACATATTTCTGAAACGTTGTATAAGAGATGAAATAGCACATGCACTATAGTAAGTTCAGTTCACCATCATTTGAATAGGGTGTCAATTGGGGACTACCTGGGATTTTTTGGCCTCTCTTGGGTCCCTCTCGTCTCCTTTAAGTGTGGAGATGATTAGTAGCATGGTGACCCTTTTCTAGTCTTCTAACCACTCAATAGCAATCGGTCCTTCACGTCAGTAAATGATCTCAGCAGCACTATATGCTCTTCATTTCCCCCCATTCTCTTCTTTGTATTGGATGCAATCACTGTTGGGAGGCATTATTCCTATTGACCTAAGGCAGGATGTGCTGTTATAACTATAAAATAAAATAAGTGAGGCAAGTTCTTTCCTGAGACAATTTTAAGTGTCAGCATGGCCATATTATCTGTGAGCTCACTCTCTAGTAGTGTGACCATTGTTTAATAGACTTCTAGCTATCTTATTTCACGTCTTTTGATCTTGGGATTTCAAACGTTTCTCTCCCCAGATCTGACATATACCACATGTTTACCCTTGATAAACTCTGGTTGTTCTGTTTCCCTTCTTCCTTGATTTAAGGGCCTTAATTCTCACTCTCAAAGGCAACCTCCATTAAACAGAAGAACAATTAGTTCTAAATATGTGGCCCTGCTCAATATTTGCTCTCATGATGTGATCACTGCAGATTCGGTGCTATAGCAAAGTGTGAATAAATCAGATGGTGCCTGGCTAGCAGAAAGAATATTGTATGGTGGTTTAAAGGCTTGTTTTAAAACAAGCAGTCATTTAAGTGAAGTGCCAGCTAAGTTCACATGGAAGGAACACATTAGCCCTTGTCATCAATGAATTGTAAATAATAAAACCCAAGATCAGAGAAGGGAATGGTATTGAAGTTCAACTTCTGAGCACCCAGTTGGCAGAAGTCTATGGATGACAGTGAAGCCCCAATTCCATTTGAAGAGTCCCCATGCAGACTAAGCCTCCATTGAACTCCCTCAGATCACTGATTGGAATGTGTGTAGTCAACCCTCAGGCAGCATTGGGAAATAGATAACTCCAAACATAGCGAGGTGAAAATTCAACATTTTATCACTTGTTTTCCCTTTAGACCTATTTTTCCTTCGATTATTCCCTCTTTGAAAAAAATATAAACTTAATGGCATATACTTCAAATATTGCACAATTTAATCATTTGATCATATTAAGAAGAGCTGTACGGTCATCAACACAATCAACTTCAGAACATTTTCTTCTCATACTCATTGTTGTTAGCTCTCCATTGCCCTCCCCCAATCCTACACTGTAATGCTCCTAGGTAATTATTAATCTGTTATTGTCTCTATAGATCTACCTACCCTAAATGTTATATACCAAAACATACAAAGCACAGCAGGAAGCAATCAATCACACACACCCAACAATGACTATACAAAACAGAGAAAAACTCCAATGAAAAAGAAAGCAGAAAACATTAAAATTGAAACATCTTCCTTAATTGATTTTATAATGCTCTCTATCTCATAGTAAGGCTATTCACATCCCTAGACTAGATTCAGAGAAGATTCACCAGAGGCCTAATCCATGTGGGGATCATGCAAATGGATTTTAGGGTTCCATAGTGTGTTCTATTCTCTGTTATCTTCTGCTTTCTCTTGGATTGTGCTTGTGTGTGTGTGTGTGTGTGTGTGTGCTCTATTTTACTGACCCTGTTAGAGGGTGGTGGTGGTATGATTTTACTAATATGATATCTAGGATAGGTAAGTTATAGTCAGTTACTAGAATAATAGTTCCTTAGGGTTATGGAAAGTGAGGTTGGGAGTAATGGTAAGTCAATCATAATGAATACAAGAATGAAGAAAATGTTTTAAATATTGTGGTGGTACTTGCTCAATTTTTTTAATGTTTTTAAATCATTTAATTGTATGGTATGTGAATTATATGCCATTCAAACTGTTAAAACAGATTGTCTATCATCCTTCATACCTCCTTTTTATAATTTCATACTTCTCCCCGAAATCTCCTCTTTTTAGCTACACAATATATCAGGAAAATTTTTCTCCAACTGGTCAGGTAGTAAATACGTTAGGCTTTAGGCTCATCAAGTCTCTGTTGTAAGTATGCAATGCTGCCCTTGCTGTGTGAAAGCAGCCATAGACGCAGTGAGCGAACAGGTGAGTTTGTGTTCCTATAAAATGACATACATATTTATAAGAGACAGCGGGCCCAATTTGGTCTATGGGTATATTTGGCATAGTTTGCTGATCCTTATTTTACACTATTACATCCCAGCCAAATTTATAATATCCCTGTGTAGAAACTTAAAAGCTTGATTAGTAGTCAATGCAACTGACTTTATTAGAATAGGAATGATTCTTTCTAATATTATTTTCACGGGTGTAACTTTTTAAGTTATATTCCTTGATTTTCACTTAAATTGAACAAGCTTTAGACTTCAGTAAGCTAAGTAATCCAGGAGACGTTCTCGCTTCTCCCATTTCAGGATCAATGTGCTGAGTTTCGGGAAATTGCAAAGAATGGAAAACTCAGCTGTACTCGGGAGAGTGACCCTGTGCGAGGAGCTGACGGGAAATCATACAACAATAAGTGTACCATGTGCAAAGAGATCATGTAAGTACTGAAGTCAGCCACCATGTTTTAAAGATAATCACATACTTATTAAAGGCTAATTCTCATTTTTTATGACGCCTTCTATAAAGTTTTTTGGTTAATTCCTAAATTTTGTCTCTTTCTCTTCTATCACCTAGGGAGTAAGGAACTCTGTCAATAACAACTGATCAAGTGACTGATTCTATCCTATTTTCCATCATAACTGACCTCAAACTACCATTATCGTAGATAATTGTTCCTTAGAATACCTTTTGAATTGTTGACCAACAAAATTGTAAAGAGCTGTTATTTTGTGTGTGTGTGTGTGTGTGTGTGTGTGTGTATGTGATATGTTCAAGGGACTTGAAAAGGTTCATGGACAGATGGCATTACATGATAATGTAACTTTCCCACAAACTTTCAAAATACCCATCATATGAACACATATGTTGCATATTCTAGGGCCTATTTCTTCTCTTTATTTTCCCTTGATAAGTGGCATGGAATCAGAAAGGTTTCTGATACAGTTCAACTACTTCTGATTTATTTACCTTGAGCAGCATAATGTCTTAGTCTCATTTGTAAATTGATGAAGTTTCCTAAGTGACCTTGAAGGATACTGGTAATTCAAAAACTCAACACCTCCAGTACAATGGCATCAACTAGACATGTTCTTAATACTCTTCTCCCAGTACCTGTTCTTTACTACCCTCCCTCCCATTAAGAAAGCAGAAGAGGCAAAAGACAGAGAGAGAGGAGATGGGAAGATGTAGGTAAGGAAGAGGGAAGGAAAGAAGCAAGCAAGAAGGAAGGAAAAACTATAGATAATCACAGTAAAGTTTTGTGTATAAATAGAATCTAAATGATGCAATGTACAGGTGGAAAAAACCCTGGGGATTAGAATACTTGGTAGTCTAAAGATCACATGGGGTGTAGACTTCAGAGTTGAAAATGAAATCCAGTCATTGGTCTAGTATTTACATCTAAAAGTTCCTTCAAGAGAAGCAAGATGTCAGAGTGGAGCAATGCTAGAGTTTGGGCATCAGATATCTATAGTTCCATGTTCTTGGGCAAGTCATTTTTCTTCCTTAGACTTCAACACGCTGCCAGTTAGACGGTTGATTTCAGTGAACATAGCCATGTGGCGTTTTGTTTGAGCGAGAAATGAGATGAACTATGTAAAACTGTTAGCACCATGTCTTACACAAATTAGGTACATAGAGACTAGAAGGTGTCCCTCGCTATCATTATATTCAGTAAAATAGTTACTGTTGCTGTTATTGTTGGGTGCCACTGAGCTGGTTCTGATGCATAGCAACCACAGACCGAAACATTTCCCAGTCCTGTGTCAGCCTCACATTGTTTGTTGGAGCCCTTTGTTGCGTTCACCATGTCCATCCATCTTGTCGAGCGTCTTGCTCTTTTTTGCTGACCTTCTTTGACACCAAGTCTGATGTCCTCCAGATCTCTTCTGATAGCATGTCCAAAATACTTGAGATGGAGCTCTCCCTTCGTCTTTCTAAGGTTCATTCTGGTTCTATTTGGTTCATTCAGTCATATTTGACATTGTCATTAATATTACTACTAGAAGATTAGCTTTATGGTGCTTTAACAACAATACAACATTTGCACAAATAATATTATGAAGAAAATAATTTAGGTATAACTCCATACCTGTTATTTTTTCTGTTTTAAACATTAGTAGTATTACATTTTGTGGCATAATAACATGATTCTCTGATACAGAAAAATATTAAGGCAAACTTTTTCTCATGTTAAATTTTTTGTATATGTTACAAGATATCTAGAGTATTTTTCTAAACTATAAATGAATGTCAAACCATTTTGAAAATGATCAATAATCAGTAGTTATTGACTGCTTTATTATGTGAAAACACACTCTCTGAGGCACTGAAATGCAAAACGAGTTAGACAATATTCCTCCCATGTTGAAACTATGATATAATGTAATAGAACACAGGTAAAAGACAGATAAACAGATATCTAATAAAAAGATTTCAAAACAAAAAAGCCCTCTATCATCGAGTCAATGCTGACTCAGAAAGACGCTACAGGGCAGGATGGAACTGACCCTGTGGGCTTCGGCGACTGTAACTCTTTATAGGGGTAGAAAGCCTCATCTTTCTCACAGAGGGGCTGGTGGTTTCGAACCGCTGACCTCATCATAGTTGGCATGTAGCCATCACACCACCAGCGCTGGATAAGGCAGTATTAAAAACCATATGACAATGTAAGACAACTGAAAGGGATGATGTTCAAGGGAAGGCTGGGCATTTGAATGAGGCTGGTATAAAGTGGGGAGTTTGTGATACTGGGATTGCTCTACCTGGAATGTATACATTGTGATGAGGCAGTTTCTTACATAAGGGTCTTAATTACTGAGCTGACTACTCATCCCTGGGAGGTACAGAGAAGCTCTTTTGTAGGAGATGGTTTAGAACACATAAACTCTATTACTCTTTCCAACTCTGAGTACATATTAACACGTTGTCTCGACTCTTTTCTAGTGAAAGAGAAGCAGATGAAAAAAATAAAAATTCTGGCTTTAGATCAAATGGAACTGAATCAGCATCCAAAAAGGTAAGCGATTTGCTTGTTTTGTCAAGAGTAGTATTTCTGTAATCTATGCTTGGCCATCAAAAATATGGAAAGAAAATGTCATTGTGGCCAGTTAAGATCTTACCCTTAGATGATGAGAAGTCATGATTAAAATCACTGGTTAGCAAGAATGGTCATACTTGACTATACACCGAAAGGTTTTAGGTTGATCCACCCCTCTGTGCCACAGAAGAAAGGCCTGGTGATTGTTTCTATGGTGTGATAACCTTGGAAAACTCTGAGGAACAATTCTACTCAAATCCATGGAGGAAGAATTGATTAGACAACAATAGCTTTCAGTAGCTCAGTCAGTGTGAAAATCTTATAGCAAATGGCAATGCTTTAGTCTAACACTTAGGAAGCACTTTTATAAATAGTTCTTTATTTAACTCTCAAAAGCCAGGTGAATTAATAGGTGGTATTTTCATAGGCAGTTAAATGCTGCTGTACACTTTATGCTGTTGTAACAAATCGCTGGAAAGCTGGTGACTTTGAGCACACACAGTCAGGTTTGCTAATCTGAGGAGGCTGACATTTTAGATCACACTGAATTAAATCACAGATTCAGTAGGGGTTCATTTCTTTGTTTATAAGGAAGAACATATTTTCTTCCCTTTCTAGATTCTAGATGTTGTCTACATGCTTTGGCTCCTGCTCCTTCCATATTTCACACCATAAATGACCCGAGTATTTATCATTCCATATCTTTCTGAATTTTGCCTGGTGGCAGAGTGTTTAAATATTAGCCTGAGATCTGCAAAGTCATCAGTTCAAAACCACCAGCAAGCCCACAGAAAGAAAGAGGCCTTTCTACTCCCATAAAGGGATACGGTCTCAAAAACCCACAGGGGCAGTTCTACCCTGTCCTGTAGGGGAGCTATGCCTCAGCACCAACTCGATGGCAGTGGGTTTGAGTTGAGTTTTCACTTACAGACACTCATGCTTCCATTGGGCTCATTCGCATACTGCGGAATAATCACATCTCAAGATCAAGCGATTAGCAAGCATACTCACCGCTTCAACTTTAGTTCCTCCTTGTCATGTAAGGTACCATATTCATAAGGTTCAGAAGTGGAACATGGACATCTTCATTGGGCCATTATTATGTCTATAACAAGCTTAAGGGACTACTAACTTTTCTAATTCTCCAATCAAAATATTCTAATTCTCAAACCCAATAAAATACTATGTGAACATGGCATTTACAATAAATTCTCTCCTTTTTAGGGTATGTGTGATGAATATAGAGGTCAAATGAAAAATGGAAAGCTAATCTGTACTCGGGAGAGTGACCCTGTTCGGGGTCCAGATGGCAAGACACATGGCAATGAATGTGCAATGTGTAAAGAACCACTGTGAGTATTTTGTGAAAGATTTAAAAAATACAATTTATTTTATTTTGTTGTTGCAATATACACATAGTGCATACACCCATTCAATAATTTCCACATGTCTAATTCAGTAACGTTGACTATGTTTCTGAATAATGCAAACAACCTCACTCGCTTTTTCTAAGAGTTTGCATTATTAACATAAATTACTTATCTAATATTTTGAACTGCTGTTCCCAATTTGATTCAATAAAGATAGGTCAAAAAAGAGAACAGTGCTCAAAGGCACTTTTTATGCACCCATGGGACATCCCCACAAATTAGCCTAATAATACAAATAATGCTTCTATTCTACCTCCAAATGTATTACATAGTATTTGGAGTCTCAAAGGTTGTAACTGATCATCTATGGTATAACAATTGGTCTGTATTCATGTGGAGCAATGGAGAGTCAGAAGAGGAGAAGGAAATAGAAGGTGGAGGCAATTGCCTCCTTGAACACCTGCCTCCTTTGCCCAGTTACCAGGACTGTTACTGTTATTGAACACTTTGATAAAAAATTCTATAGATTGATCCTGGTCAAACCAAACCAACAAAAATCACTGTCATCGAGTCAATGCCAAACTCATGGCCAACCTATAGGACAGGATAAAACTGCCTCCGTGAGTTGCCAAGAATATAACTATGGAAGTAGAAAGCCCTCTCTGGTGGTTTAGAACTTCTGACCTGTGGTTAGCAGCCACGTAACCATTACATCATCATTGCTCTAATGCTGATCAAAAGAGGGAAAATACAGGACAGAACTTCAATTCTCATAGACTCTAGGCTTTCTAGTGTCATACAGGCCGGATAAAGATCTGAATCAACTTGCCTGAGATAATATTTAAATCCTCAACATTAACGGACTATTTTAGTCTTAAAAATACACTAATTATCAGTTATTGGTTTGAGGAAAATGATGGTATTTTAAATTTAGATATTGTAGTAGTTAATAAGCTATTTGGTTACTTTGATTAATAATGGTCTTTTAATCTTTTATTTCAGGGAAAGAGAAGCAGCTGAAAAAAAGAAGAAAGAGGAGGACAAGAGTAACACTGGTGAAAAGAGCGATGAAAAAGCGGTAACATATGTTAGACAAATTGATACCTTCAATACGTTTGATTGTTTTTCTACTTGGTCCTTCAATGCCTATTTATGGAATGCCAATTCAATCCCATCATTGTGGATATAATGGTAAACAAGAAAGGCATGACCAGTATTGTAGAGCAAACATCATGGGATTTGATACTCTAAGCACATCAGTTATACAATTATGACACATTTATTGGAACAATGACAATTGCCAATATATTGTTGCTTCTAATGAATTTCAAAAATCATTTTATTGGGGGCTCGTACAACTCTTATCACAATCCATACATCCATCCATTGTGTCAAGCACATTTGTTGTCATCATCATTCTCAAAACATTTGCTTTCTACTTGAGCCCTTGATATCATCTCCTCATTTTTCCCCTTCCTTCTCTACTCCCCTCTCCTTCTTGAACCCTTGATAATTTATAAATTATTATTATTTTGTCATAGCTTACACTGTCTGATGTGTCCCTTCACCCACTTTTCTGTTGTACGTCCCCCAGTGAGGAGGTTATATGTAGATCCTTGTAATCGGTTCCCCCTTTCTATCCCACCTTCCATCCACACTCCCAGTTTTGCCACTCTCATGACTAGTTCTGAAGGAATCATCCGTCCTGGATTCCCTGTGTTTCCAATGAATTTTTGTTCTGAAAATTTTAAATAAAAATAACAAAGCAAACAGACATTAAAAAATAACTAAGAAGAAAATAAGTATCATTGGCACTCTAGATGATAAAATCTTGACTTAGTACTTCACTAACATTGAGAGCTCAATCTAGGTCTTTGCAGCACCAACATTTAAAACATTGTACAATATCAAAAACCTCAAATCAATCCCATTGCCATCAAGTTTATTCCAACTCAGAAAAATCCTGTGTATGGTTTCCTTGACGATAAATCCACAAATGGGAGAAGACGGTCTCATCTTCCTCCCATGGAGCAACTGTTGGGTTTGTCCTATCAACACTGAGGCTCACAGCCCAATGCCTAATCCACAGTTTCACCAGGACTCCTTTTATACAATATAAACTCTCCTAATTTGTTTATAGACTCCAATTTAAAAAGCAAAACTATGAATTTGTTTGGGAAGTATTTCATATTAGGAAAGCAACTTTTTTATTAGGATGATATAATAAAATATAATGCAACATGAATGGCAAGCATCATTATTTTTAAAACCCTTAGGATTTCTGGTACACAATTTGGTAAATGAATAGCTTGAAGAAAAGGCATGATTTAACTACTCCAGTTATCTCTACTGTCCATCAATTTTATTTAAACTCTTAGTCAAAGATCAATTTCATGATATTTATTTTAGGAATTTCAAACAGAAAAGTAAAAAATAGTAATATATCATTAAAATCCATTTTTTATAAAAACAGAACTAAATATACACATGCAAATTAAAATAAGCCTTACAATCAAATGCATTACCAAATTTAATTTTCCTCACAAACTATCCATAATAAAGTTCTAATTTTGCAGTAGAGAAAAACTTGAGTCATTAACTACACATAATTAATAAATAGAAGAGCCAGAGACTGAACCCTTGGACACATATTATAATAAGACAGAACTATTCTATCTTATATTTCATATGCACATAATATCATGGGTACCTTGAAAGATAGTAATTCTAGTAGTTTCAGAAAATGATGATTGTAAAAACAGGTATTTAATTCTAAAGAAAATTTAGAATGCTTCAGATGAAAGTAGTTCTGGGATTGTTTATGAAAAAAATTTATAGAAATAAGGCTAAGTACAATTAAGATGACTCACGGTATTTGCTAAGGTTCTCTTGCCACATTTATACTTTGGCTCATTGGCTTAAAAGAAGCTGAAGACAGAGTTCCATCAATCTCCAAATGATTCCAACAGGGGTCAAATCCAGTGAACTAAATTCCTTTGGCTTCCTGTTAAGGTCTTTATTCTTCTGAAAAGACTCTGAAACTTGTTCTTGATCATAGAGTATCTAAAGCAAATGGAAAAGATGATGAAGTAAAATAGTATATATTCTAAAGCAAATTTTCAAATAGAAAATTTCAATGGGCTGCTAGAGAAGACAGAGTAAAGTGTTATAATGGAATACGCAAAGACCTGGGGTTAGTGAAGCAAAAAAGGAAGAATACTCTCAGCACATATCAAGCTGAAAGAACTGAGGAAAAAATTCAAGTCTCTGGTTGGAATATTGAACGATTACATAACAAAATTGCACATGATGCAGGAAGTATCAACGGAAGACCGAAGGAATATACAGAATCACTCCATGAAAAGGATAGTTGACATTCATACATTTCAAGAAGTAGCATATGAACAAGAGCCAATTGTAGTGAAATCTGTGCTGAAGGCATCACCAAACACTAGGATGTAGGATTTTGTGGAATTTTGTAATGAAATGTGCAAAGATCTAGAGTTAGAAAACCAAAAAGGAAGGATGCGTTTAGCATATCTTAAACTGAAAGAACTAAAAAAAAAATCAAACCTTGCTTGTAATACTGAAAGATCATATGACAAAATATTGCATGGTGGAGGGAACCTCGATCTACTGTGGGTTCCTGTTCACCACCCTCAGGTGTCAGGAAAAGCCTGATTTGAGCTAGATTAGACTTACCTATTTCTACAACTGTGTAAGCCATTTCTTGATAAATCTTCTACATATAACACACACACACACACAAAGAAGGAAGAATACACAGTCACTGGACCAAAACTAGTCAACATTTAACCATTTCAAGAGGTAGTATATAATCAAGAGTCAATGATACTGAAGAGAGAAATCCAAGCCACACTGAAGGCATAAACCAAAAACAAGGCTCTGGGAATTGATGGAATACCAATGGAACTGTTTCACCAAGCTGATAAAGTACTGGAAGCCCTTGCTTATCTATAGCAAGAAATTTGGAAGACAACTACTTTACCAACTTATTGGATTGGATCCATATTTGTACCCATTACAAAGGAAAGTGACCCAATATAATTATGAAATTATCGAACAACATCTTTAATATCACAGGTAAGTTAAATTTTACTGATGATCATTCAGCAACATTTACAGCATTACATTGAGAGGGAGCTGCCAGGAACTCAAGCCAGATTCAGAACAGGATGTGAAATGAAGGTTATCATTGTTGACATCAGAAAGATTTTGGATGAAAGGAGAGAATACCATAAAGATGCTTATTTTTGTTTTATTGGCTTGTAAAGACATTTGACGGTATGGATCATAAAAACTATAAATAATATTGAGAAGAAAGAACCACTCATTGTGCTTATGTGGAACCTGTACACATACCAAGAAAGAGTCATTTAAGCAGAACGAAGGCTTAACATCATGAAAGGTGCGTGTTAGTGTTGTATATTTCACCATAGCGAGTCACTCTGTATGCTCAACAGTTAAGACAAGAAGTTGGACTAGATGAAGAATTCAGATTAGAGGAAGGGTTAATAAAAACCTGTGCTATGCAAATGACACAACTGCTTGTTGAAAGTGAGGAGGACTTAGAGCAGTTGGTGATGAAGATCAAGAATTGCAGCTTTCAGTATGGATTACAACTCAATGTAAAGAAGACCCAAAGCCTCACAACTGGACCAATAGGTACCATCATGATAAATGGCAGCAAGTTTGCAGTCATCAAGGATGTTGTCTTGCTTGGATCCACAAGCCATGTTTGTGGCAGGTGCCAGTCAAGAGATCAAAAGACACATTATGGCACTGGCTAAATCTGCGGCACAAGACCTCCTTAGGGAGGTGAAAAGCATGGCGGTTACTTTGACAACGAGTGTGTGCCTGACCCAAGTCAGGGTATTTCCAATCAAACATACGCATTTGAATATTGGATATTGAATAAGGAAGCCTGAAGACAAATCAACGCATTTGAGTGATAGTGCTGGCAGAGGATGCAGAAAGCCTGGGCTGTCAGAAGAACACAGAGAAAGGACAGCTGGAATGCTCCATTGTAGGTAGGATGGAGAAATCTAGCCTCATGTGCTTTGGACAAAGTATCAGGAGAGACCAATACCTGGAGAAGGACCGCATGCTGGGCGAGGTAAAACGGCAAAGGAAAGACGGACGACACTGGCTGGGACAATGGGCTCAACACAGCAGCAATTATGGACCGGGCAGCACGCAGAGCCACATGAGTCCAAACTGACTGGAGGTCATTTAAAAGCAACACAATTCTTCAGTCAATAAAACAACCAACTCTGTCTTCTTGAAAACGGACAAGAAGTTTCTTCTCTGTTATATAACAACCATTGCGGGGTGGGGCGGAGCAGTGTGGCTTAAGTAATGACTACAACATTGACTTAACTACTGATTGTCTCTGAGACTCAGATTTCTCATCTATGAAAGAGGGATAATGTGTGGCAATCTTATGAGGTTTTCCTAGAAATAAATAGGCATTGCATAGAGCACACAATACAAGTGTTTGGCATATAATATACTTTATAATAAAAATATTTATTCAGGAGCAAAGGTTAAGTTTACATGTTGCTATGTTTTGCCAGAAGAGAGTCTTTCCCTTTGAACACAATTGTCCAATAGGAAACTATCTAAAAATAGAATCATTTGCCTTAACTGCTAGTGAAGTTCCATTGGAGTACACACTTATTTAGATGGATTCTGCTGAGGGCATTCAAACTTCTTAAGTAAATTTATATGGCACCAAACAAAACAAAATGCAGTGCCATTAGGTTGCTTCCTACCTTCGGTGACCCTACAGGACCGAGCAGAACTACCTTTGTGGGATTCCCAAACGGAATGTTTCTGCGTGCAGAAAGCCTTATCTTTCTCATGTGTATCAGCTGATGGGTTCGAACTGCCGAGCTTGCGGTAGTTAATGGTCCAAAGAGAAATCCACTATGCTACTAAGGCTCCTGTGATTTGAATGAACTCCTTCCCGTTCAACGATGTGAGCCCTCGGATTTTATTTTCGCTAGATCTTTTTTCTTTCATATGTTCTCTCATATTAACCTACCATATTTTAAAGGTGCCAACTATGATAATAACCTGTTTTTGCTCATCTTGGCAGGATCAGTGTTATGAATTCCGGAGCCAGGTGAGAGAAGGCAAGCTTATCTGCACCAGAGAAAACGACCCTGTTCGAGGTCCAAATGGCAAGATGCACGTCAACAAATGTGCTATGTGTCAGAGCATCTTGTACGTGTAGAAATTTATTTCTCAATTACATATAATGTGCCAAGTTGTTAGAAAATGTTTCCTCTAAATTTAAAACCTAAGCTACTTGGTTTTGTTATTGTTAATTGCCACCAAGTTGGTTCCAACCCATAGCAACTGTTCACAACAGAACAAAACACTGCCCAGGCCTGTTCTGTCCTCGTGATCTTCTATACCTGAGCCCATTGTTGCAGCTACTGTGTCATCCCATCACGTTGAGGGGCTTCCTCTTTTTCACTTGGTATTACATCTTAACAATGTAAGAAACCACTCCTTACTTTTACAGAGGACAATGTGGCTCCAAAGCACTTTCACAAAACATTTTCATTTTTAGAATTAGTGCCATACCTGGACCCAATGAGACACAAAAGAGTTAGTATATAATAGCAAAATCATTGAATTTAAGTCACCGACTTGTCAATTTAATTGAATGAAATTCAGTTCATGTTGCAGCGCCTCAATTCCCTACAATGATATTGTATCTGTGGTTACGGCCAGCTGCTATCAAATTGCCTTGAACTCACGGCAACCACGTTACAAGAGACAGAGCTACTGCTTGATCTTGTGTCATCTTCACAATCACTGTCATGTTTGTGTCCTCACTGGACACAAGATTCTGTTCTGATCCATGGAGTTTTCAGTTTTGTAAATGCATTGCCAAATTTTCCCTCCTAGTCTGGCTTAGTCTGGATCCATTATTGAAATCTGTTCACCATGAGTTCACCCTACTAATATTTAAGTACTGTTGACATAACTTCCAGTATCATAGCAATACGCAAGCTACCACAGTTCAAAACATTGCTAAAATGGTCGTGGGCATTATAGATGTTGTTGGTAGGTGCTATTGAGCCAGTTCTGCCGATAGAGACCCTGTGCAGCACAGAATGAAACAATGCTGGGTCCTGCGCCATCCTCACGGTGGTTGTCCCTGTTCGTGAGCCCATTGTTGCAGCCATAGGATTATATCATTCTGGATCATAGTTACTATTTGAATTCTTAAAGGTTCATGATTTGGGTGTATATATGAAAATTTCAGCAAACATTTTTTTTTTAGATTTTTGACACAAAAGAGTGCTTAAATAATGTTTAAAATTGGAACCATGCTTATTTAAGTAAGATTTAAAATAACCAGAGAAAATACCCCTGCTTTTTTCTGCAGTGAAAGAGAAGCTAGCGAAAGAAAAAAGAATGATGAAGAAAAATCACGTGCCAAACCGTCCAATGACTCAAAGGTTATTTCTTAATATATAACAAAGTAACTTACTTTTTGTCCTTAACACTTGTCCTTTTTTTGAATGCTGAAGGTGCTAACCTATTTACTTCAAAGATTATTTACTTATTTCTGACTTGGAGGTGTGATGCTTTGCTAGATTTTCATTGAAATTTTCCAAGAGTATGTCTCACTTATTGCTTTAGTCTCTTCTCTTTGGAAAAAAAAGTAGATTGAAAAATAGTGGGAAGAGTTCTTCACCACCTCAGCAATATATTTGCCTCCAAGACTAAATATGAAGTGAGGCTTCAGGTAACTTGTTGGTAATAATTTTAATGACTTGAGTAATATCAAGCCTTCCCTTTAAAATTCTTTCCTCAGTAATTTCTGTTTTCTCCAGATTAGTTTTTCAACATCAATGAATTAATAGTCTAAATGCGTGATCCTGCCTTTTCTCTTTGCTTCTGACTGAAATCTTCAGTCCTTTAATGGTGCTTTCTGTGAGATTGTTCCTCAGTCAAGAGCACACACCTCTTGTGGGAAATGGGGGCAAAGAAAGGTCAAATGAGGGAGGAGACAAGGAGTTCTATCAAGTGCTATTTTGGGTTTTCCTTGCATTTCCAGGATCAGTGCCTGGAAGATGCAAATGAAGTGCCGGATAGAAAGCCTGCAGAGTCTAGACGTCCCTTGGCCTCCCTTGCCAGGAGTGCGGTGAGTCTGAGTCTCAAAAAGAGAGTTCTTAAAATTAAGTTTGAGAAAAACTCCATGTCCTAAAGGCCAAAAGACATGTTAACATTTCCTTCCCCATTGTTCAGGATGACTGCAGCAGCTTCCGGGAATATTCTAGAAATGACCAGCTCATCTGCACCCGAGAGAATGACCCTGTGCGTGATGCTGATGGAAAGTTATATAAAAACAAGTGCTTCATGTGCAGCGATATCTTGTGAGTAAGAGGTCTCATCTTTTCAGCTAACTGGAAGACTGCATTTGTAGAAACTGCTGATAGAACAAGTGGGTGGACTCGTGAATCCACAGCAACCTTGACTTTTGTCTTGAGAGTCAAGAAGCTAAAGTTGAGACCTCGGGATTGTAGAACGTACTCTTGGACTTGGAAGCAGAAACCTGATCTAAGTTCTAACGATGACACTTACTAGTTGAGTCACTTCAAACAGTAACAGCAAATACCCTTCAACTCTTAGGATCACAGTTACAGAAAATTATCCTGGCTCTTTGTTCTGCAATTACATTAAGCCATCAGACTCAAGAAAACAACAAAAATTAGAGAATTTTGTATTCCTAAACACATTGAATCAGAACCTCTGTGCCTATAGAATCTATTTTAAAAAATCATCTACAGGTTATTTTGACAAAGATATCTGAGAACAAACAGAAATGATAGAATGATTGCCAATGAACATGATGGTGATAGTGCTGGTAATGGTGGTCACAAACACAGGACCAGTGAACACAGCAATGACAATCTATGGCTCATCGCTTCACAGCATGCTCTTTGAGACAAGAATTAATGTTAGCCTCTGGCAGGCTAGGAGATCCAGCCTCGAGAAGGTTAGATGTATTAAGGCTAAAATCATTAAGTGATGAAGTATCTAAATCAACTCCTAGTTGTCTAAGCTTTGTTGCTTTGGGGTTCTGGTCACTCTCTGGTAGAATGTTTTATGTTTTTTGTTATGTTTATTAATATTGCTTAACTTCAAACAGATATAAGGAGCTTGTTCTTGTGAATACCAAGTCATTTTTGTTGTTGTTTTGCTTCCTTCTCTAGTAAAAGAGAAGCTTTGGAAAAGGTCAGAACTTCAGAAATGCCAACTCCCACTGAGGCTGCAGAAGAGAGTCCAGATTCCTCCTACCCTTCTCTAGTAAGAATGACAATGTTTCTAAAGCTACCTATCAACGTGCTGCGTTGTTTTGTTTTGTTTTGGTGGTAGGCCAGTTGCAACTTGCTCCACAAATTCCAATTCCACAGAGAAGGCCGGGGAGTGCAGACATAATTTCAGTGCAGCTATCAGTGCTTTAATCTCTGCTCTTTGAGACAGGGAGTCCTTTTCTAAGTCCACTTAGTATATTGTGAAGTTGAAAATAATTGTGTGAGATGAGTGGTCAAATAAGTAGCTAAGTTAGTTAGCTTAGTTAATTAGATACCTTGGTTTTATAACTTCAGGAGACCAGAAATACTTCTCATACTTCCATCTTCACTATACATTCTTTCTCCCCAACAAGTCATTTCCCCCCAAACCTGAGACTATTACTTGTAAAATTCCACCAACCAGCAATTCAAAGAAATTATAACTTTTTTCTACAAAATGCAGTCTGATTGGGCATCAGTAAAAAGAAAGAATGATTTTCAGTTGTTGTTTGCAGAGTTCTTTAAATATTATGTAAAGTAGGCTGTTTACAAAGTATTCAATATCTAGATTTATTTGCCTATTCTATCAATTACGAAAATAGCTATGTTAAAATTTCTAATTAAGTGTGTAAATTGTACTATATTTAAAATTTATATTTTCTTTATGTATTCCACGGGGTCTTTAAGAAAAGTCAGACCTTTCAGCCTACCATTCACTCCACAGGAGAAAGATGTGACCATCAATTTCCATTAAAAATATGGCCTTGGAAACCCTTTGGGACCATTCTGACTCAAAGTGAACCTACAGAATTGCCCCTGTGGGTTTCTAAGACTGTAACTCTTTATGGGAGTAGAAAATCTCATCTTTCTTCTGATGAACAGGTGAGGGTTTCAAACTGCTTACCTTGTGGTTAGCAGTTCATATGTAGCCACCTGCCACCACAGCTCCTTGTTTCTTTTGTAAGGATTAGAGATAAGCTGTTTTATGCACCTACTTAAATGTTAAAAGCCTTTCATCAGGTGACGGACATTTGGGTTGTTTCCACTCTTTCACTCTTTTGAATAGTGCTTTAATGAACATTTACTAACATATGATGGTAGAAACCACCAGTGTTTCATCTCAAGTTAATCTTTGGCCTTGAGGGTCATTGAGTAAATCTGCTGTTTGTTTGCTTTTTTCTTTTTTACTTGTTCAGGATTCTGATATGTGCAAACACTACCGAGTTTTTCCTAAGATGGGTTACCTTTGTCCAAAGAATTTACAGCCTGTCTGTGGTGACGATGGCCAGACATACAGCAATCCCTGCATGCTCTGTCATGAAAACCTGTAAGTACACAATCCACACCAGTGCGTCTTCTGTTCGGAGGTTCTCAATGAGTATGCATCCAAAGCAGTGTACTGATATTAATTTAGCATGTGTTACAATTAATTTAATAATCACCACAACCAAACCAGTAAGTGTATTCCAACTCATAGCAACCCACTGCCATCAAGTGCACTCCAACTCAGACTGGCCCTGCAAACCTGTCCCCGTTTGATTCTAAGATGTAACGCATTACGGGAGTCAAAAGCCTTCTCTCTCTCTCTCTCTGTCTCTCTCTCTCTCTCTCTCTCTCTCT